GGAAATTTGCAGCAGTTATTACGAGCAAAAGGAGTCTATTACGTAAAAGCCGGCACCGATCGAATCTGGGTACCGGGCTACACGCTACTACGGGAATTGCTGCTACAAGAGGCACACAACGGAATCACCTCAGGCCATTTCGGAGTAGAAAAAACACGGCAGCAGCTGCAGCGGTATTATTACTGGCCCGAAATGCTGACCGACATGCAGCGACACGTGGCATCGTGTCCCACCTGCCAACTCATGAAATCATCACGGAAGTGGCCGGCAGGGCAGTTGCAGCCGATACCACCCCCAGAGCGTGCTTGGCAGCAGGTGACGATAGACTTCGTCATAGGGTTACCGGCCGGAGCAAGTGGGAACGATGCGATCCTGATCGTCGTCGATTGGCTGACGAAAATGGCACATTTCGCAGTCTGCAGAAAATCAATCACAGCCGAAGAAACGGCCCGCCTCTTCATCTCAACCATCGTTCGGTTACACGGGATACCAGCAGCAATCATCAGCGACCGCGATACGAAATTTACCGGCAATTTCTGGCGGAACCTTTGGCAGCAGTTCGGCACGAGACTGCAGTTTAGTTCTTCGTACCACCCCGAAACCGACGGACAGACAGAACGGACAAATCAGACCATATCCCAGTTAATCCGAGCCACGTGCGACGACCCGACCACCTGGGAACAGCAACTGCCACTCATCGAATTCGCGTACAACAACTCGCCATCCGCCACGACCCAACAGTCACAGTTTTATTTGAACTATAGACAAGACCCTACAGTACCCATGACCCCGAATCTCGACAATCTAGTACCACGTGCGCAACAATTCGCAGAAATATTACAGGCAGCACGAACAAGGGCAGCCGAGGCAATAAAAAAGGCCAACGTCATTGCTAAGCGCAACGCGAACTGCCACCGCAGACCCGTCACTTACCAGCCCGACGACTTAGATTTGCTCGACACTCAAAACCTCCGCCTGCCCATAACCCCGAAACTCCACCCCCGATATTGCGGGTTATTTCGCATCAGCCACATGATCACACCTGTCACCGCCCACCACCTCCTCCCTGCTGACTGGTACGTCAGCCCGTCCTTCCACGTCAGCCTGCATCCCATCTACCAGCCAACTGGCCCGAAATCGCCCAGCCAGCATGACACGACCACCGACAGAACCAGTCATCACGCCCGAGAAGATTCCGAGCCACCGAGTTCGTGACCAACGAGAAGCTCGAAGGGTCAAATTCCTGATCCGCTGGAGAGACCGCACACCCACCGAGGTCAATTGGGTTCCCCTGGACAGAATCGAAAACCACCCTGTCCTCACCGAGTATCTGCGCAGCCGGAATTTCCGGGATGTACACGCGCTTTCGTAAGAGAGGCCTCCTTAAGGGGGGGGGGGGGGGGGTAGTGTAAGGAAAATTCATTTTCCTTACTTCGCGTCCCTGCTCAGCGCGTACATCACTGTTCTCGCCTACAGCACCCCACAATAATCCGTTACCACTCGCGACATTCGCCTCGACCCCATTCCCGCCACTGTTCATGATGCGACCCAACCTCACGGTTCGGTTGGTAACCCGCGCTCCGGACCTCCGCCTCGACATTCCCCAACCTCGGCACCAGGCCCGTCGCACACCCCATTTTTTCACACGTTACCGTTAACACTGTAGCTTCGCTATATATTCTTCGCTCAATCCTTCGCTCATTGTATCTTGTCTCGATAGTGCAATCTTCGCTCGCTCACTCAATTGCACTCGTAACACATATACTCTCACCAATATTGCCAGCACTGAATTTTCATTTATGGACGGCCAATCACATATAACCACACCCATGCGGTGTTGAATTGATAGTACTGGTAGATGTCGCAGTGTGGAGGAGGGGATTACAGTAATTACAGTATATATACAACTCTCAGGTCATGCAAACAAGCACACCATGGATTGGCACCTGAATTTACTGTCAGCCATTTTTCACCTCCAACTACCATTCATATTTTTTCCTAAGGCACACTACTAGTTCTGCCGCTGCCTCTTTCTTAGCAAATCCAACCCTCTTTCCTCTTGCACCTTTTCACTCGCAGAGGTGACATTTTCAGCACTCGCATTTGCAGTGTTCACATTCGCAGAGGTCCTGGATCCGGGTCTCATGAGCAAGGTCAGCGCAAGTCCCTCCAAATCCTCTACCTCATACTGACTCACCCCAGCCTGCAAGGATGAATCATCATGACTGATTTGAGTCCGAGAACAGGCCGCAGTCGCTAAAGCAGGAGCCACTTCTGTTTCCGTTGCTACTCTTCCACTCCCACTCCTGGTCCCTCTCCCGTTCCTTCTCTCTGTCCCTCTCCCAGTCTCTTCCCCCCTCCCCCTGCCTGTAGGTACACTCATGTGTGCTCCAGTAATAGCCTCGTTAGAAGCCCTTTCAGTGGAGACCGTTCTTAGGTGTATCGGGATTCCCATTACTGCAGTATGAAGTGCCGTTGCTAGAAAAGTAGCAGGCGCACTTGCCATCTCCGCGCTCACTATAGTTGTTGAAGGAGGTGCTAGTAAAGGGGATGTTGATGGAGGTATCAGAGAAGGAGGCATGAAATAAGGTGCTCTTAATGAAGGTGATTCTAACGAAATTGGTTTCAGTGAAGGCAGGGCGTCTCGATGAGGCATTGCCCCAACGTACTGCAAGAGGCTCGGCTGCCCGCTTGTCAGGCTCGGGCCTTGGCCGAGGTTCGGACCGAGGCTAAGGCTTGGGTTGCGGCCCAGGCTTGCGCCCAGGGTTCGATTGCGTTCCAGTAGCTGCAGAATCGATAAAATAGCAGCAGGAGAGGCAGTGGCAGTGGCATTGGCAGTGGCAGCAGAAGAAAAGGGTGAAGCAGCAGTAGCAGGAGTAGCAGGAGCAGCAGGAGCAGCAGGAGCAGCAGGAGCAGCAGCAGAAGAAGGAGCAGCAAGAGTAGCAGGAGCAGCGGGAGCAGCAGCAGCAGCAGCACCAGCAGCAGCAGTGGAGACTCCACGCTGTGTTGCTTCCTTGAACCGAAACTGACCCCCATGAGCGGCAGCAGCACTATCAGCAGCAGGAGTGCCAATACTAGCACCAGCACCAGCAGCAGCACTAACATCAATACTTGCAGCAGCACTAGCATTAGTAGCAGCATCAGCACTATTACCAGCACTAGCAGCAGCAGCATCACTGCCACTGCTGGTGCCAGATATAGAAGGGAGATGCATAATGTTGGCCTTGCGCTTGGATGGGAAAGAAAGAGTGGGTTGGGATGGGAGAGTGGGGCGAGATTTGAAAGGAATTGCTTTGGCACTACCACCAGCACCCCCTATTTCTCTGTCATCTAGCTTCTCTGGACCTCCTTCACCTCCCCATCCCACCCCTCGCTTTTCCATTCTCCTTTCTCTTCCCTCTTCTCCTCTCCCTTCCCTTCCCCCTTCCCCTTCCCCTTCCCCTTCCCTTCCCCCTCTCCCTCCCCCTCCCTCTCCTCCTCCCTCCCCTCCTCCACCTACTCCTCTCACGCCTCCTCTCCCTCCTCCTGCTGGCCCTGCTTTAGCCGCTGCCACTGCCGCCGCTGCTGCTGCCTCCCTTTTTCAAGACGTCCTCTTACGTTGCGCCCCGTGGCCCGTCATGTGTCCCCCAAGCGCCTGCCACGTGGGGAAGTTTTTGCCGCAGATAGGACAAGAATACCCGCCCGGCCTCTGCCCCGGCATGCCCGGGAGATGTTCAAAGGGAAGCTGAGCTAGAGGGCGGGCGGCAGCACGAGGCGGGGCGTTGAAACCAGCACCAGATGAAACTGAAAGGGTCCCACCACCAGCACCATCACCATCACCACCAGCAGCCGTTAAACCTGCAGCAGCAGCAGCAGTGGCAGCAGCGGCGGCAGCAGTGGCGGCAGCAGCAGCAATAGCAGCAGAGGGAGTGAGACTTGATACTCCAAGCCAGGAGGACAGGAGGGCCTGTGCTCTCTCGCTCAAAACAACCTGATTCCAATGCGGATTGGCTGATAAATCTGGATGCTGTTCGGCTGATAAATCTGGATGTAGCTCGATTGATACATCCTGATCATGCTCTGCCGGTTGGACTGGATATTGCACGTGAGAAGTCAGAAACCTTGGAAGTTCTGCCTGTGCTCATGCCTGCTGTTGCTGCTGTGCTTGTTGCTGTGACTGCTGTCACGCCTGCTGTTCTGCTCGCTCTTCTTGCCTCTGCCTTTGCTGCTGATCCAGTTGCCTCAGAAGCAGCAGCTGCATCCGTTGCTGTGCCTCTTGCTGTGCATGCTGCAGAGCTTGCTGCTGAGCTGCTTCTTGCTCCTCCTACCGCTGCCTTGCCTGCTGCAGAAGCAGCAGCTGCTGTGAGGGTGATTGTGCCGCCTCTTGTTGTAGCTGTTCTGCTTCTCGCTCCTCCTGCCTTTGTTTTGCTCGCTGCTCCAAACCCTGCTGCTGCTGTTGCTGCTGCTGCTGCTGCTTCTGAATCTCCAGCCTTTGACTCTTCTCTTGCTCAGCTTGCTGCAACAAAGCTTGCTGCTCAACTTGCTGCAACCAATCTTGCTGCTCAGCTTGCTTCAACAAGCCTTGCTGCAACAAGCCTTGTGGCTGCTGCTGCTGCTGCTCCTGCAGCTGCAACTGGTATTGCTGCTGCTGCAGAAGATCCATCCAGTAACTCGGCTGCTGTGACTGCTGCTGCTGGGTTTGCTGATGAACCTGCTGTAGCAATGCCTGTTGGTGTTTCTGCTGCTGCTGCTGCTGCTGCTGCTGCTGCTGCTGCTGCTGCTGCAGCCCCAGTTGCCGCAGCAGAACCAGTTGATATCGCTCCTGCAGATAAGACAATCCAGCATCATCAGCAGCAGTCTCTGTTATTGCAACGCCTCTGCTCCCCATGTCCGTAAACAAGACTGTACCCACGACAGAAGCTTCACCTGCTGCCTTAGTGTTGATCTCTGTCATTGCAACGCCTCTGCTTCCCATGTCCGTAAACAAGACTGCACCCATGTCCGTAAACAAGACTGCACCCATGTCCGTAAACACGACAGAAGCTTCACCTGCTGCCTTAGTGTTGGTCTCTGTCATTGCAAAGCCTCTGCTCCCAAACCCTGTGATATCTCTTCCCATATCTGTCCCCAAGCCTGTCCCCAAGCCTGTCCCCATGCCTGTTCCCATGCCTGTCCCCATGCCTGTCCCCATGCCTGTTCCCATGCCTGTCCCCATGCCTGTTCCCACGCCTGTCTCCATGCCTATCCCCATACCTGTACCCATGCCTGTACCCATGCCTGTACCCATCTCTTCATCCATCCCCATACCCCCCCTCATGGCCGCTCTTCTATCCTCGTCATCCCTCCTCTCTGCACCATCACAGCTTGTCTCATCCGTTCTCTCTTCATCCTCTCTAGAGGCACCACTACCCTCTATACGCTCTGCCTTGCCTTCTGCTGCCCTTATTTTTTTCCTCCCTTCCCCCTCCCTTTTCCTCTCTTCCCCTTCTTTTTTCCTCCCTTCCCCCTCCTTTCTGCTGTCTTCCCTCTCCCTTATCCCCCCTTCTCCCACCCCTCTCCTCCCCTCTCCTTCCCCTTCCCTTATTCTCCCCCATATCCTTCCTTCTCCTGCTCTTCTCCTTCCCCTGCCCATATCCTTACTTCTCCTGCTATTATCCCATCTCCCCTTTGGGTTATACAGTCTTCGTCTGACTGGGGTCCTAACAAATTCAGCAGGCGAGGAGAAGGAACGCTTGTGTGTACCGAGTATGATTCTAGCACTGCTGGTACCGTCTGGGACTGTAACGAGCGACCTTGTACCGTGGGGTTAACTGTAGCAGGAGAAGCGCCATATAAAGAGTTGGGAATTGAACCACGTGCAGGACTGGGCAGCAGCAATGATTGTGTCTCCAAAAGAAGCCGCCCGGATACAGAACCTGCCGATGCCTCACTGCCTGGAGGAACCTCAGACTTGCCGCCCAGCACCTGGTGCCGACGCCTGCTGACGTGGCAATGACAGGTGATGACGCGACCTGACGTGTGTCAAGGAGAGGGAAAGCAGTTGGAAGAGGGGGAAAGGGTGGAGGAGGAGGAGGAGGAGGAGGAGGAGGAGGAGGAGGAGGAGGAGGAAGAGGAGGAGGAGGAGGAGGAGGCTGGCTGAAAAGGCTTGAGTTTTGGGTTGTTTTCGTTCTCGGGATAAACTCAGGGAAATGGAGGAGACGGAAAGGAGGAGCCCTTGGGAAAGGGAGAACTGGGAAAGGGAGAATTGGGGAAGGGAGGATTGGAAAAGGGAGGAGGAATGGGGAAGGATGGAGAGAGACCGCGGTGCGAATGGTGGAGAGGGAGGAGGAGGAGGAAAGCCATCCCTCTTGCTCCGGTAAAGGCAGATCCGAGAAGGCAAGAGGGCCTCCCAGTGGCCCCGGGGCGGATGTAGAGAGCGTTTGGAAGGGGAGAATCGGCGGATTCCGCAAAAAGCTCCCCCGGGCTGGCCCGGTGGCAGAAGATGCGCCTGCGGCGGCGGCAGAGGCGGCGGAGGAGGCGGCAGTGTCTAGGGTGGGGTTTACGGAGAAGCGCGCTGACTGTGCGGCGGCGATTGCGAAGGCGATGGCGGCGGCAGCGCGAGCGCCAGCAGCATGGCTCCACTGCTGCGGCGGCGGCGCCGGATTCCGCGCCGCTGTCGGCGCTGGAGGCGGTTGCGCATGGTTGCGCATGGGATCGGCGGTGCTGATGTGATGATGGTGATGATGGTGAAGGGATCACCATTTGGGATCACCAAGGTTTAGAAGGCGGCGCAATCAAGAATTTAGAGCAGTTCCTGTCATGCAGAAGCTCATGACATGGGGTCGTGTGCACGTCATCAGGTACATTAGGAAACCCACAAGCTCTGGGTACGGACCACTCGGCTCTACGGACTCGTCCGAAGGTGGAGCTGAGAGCGAGTGGCTGGTAGACAGAGGAGTGGGCTGTGGCAAGGAGAACTAGAAACCGAAGCGCTGAAGGACCTGGTGCACCATGTGTGACTGAGTCAGGGTGATGGTGTGTCGTGCTCTGTCCCGGGTGATCTGCAAGCCAAGATAGCTGCGCAGTTCACCCAGGTCAGTGTAGGTGTGTCTCTTCTACAGCTCCGACTTCACAAGGGTCAGTGCCTCAGTGTCAGCAGTGGCAAAGACGAGGTCCTCGACGTACACGAGGACATAGAGCGGCGGCAGCGAGGTGTCGGTGCGTAGAAACAACGACGGGTCAGCAGTAGAAGGAGCAAACCCAAGAGCCGCAAGTGTAGTCCTCAGTGTGTCGTGCCACTCGCAAGGCGCCTGGCGAAGATCGTAGACTGGCTGCCGGAGGCTCCACTGGGTACCTGCAGGAAACGACTCAGTGAAGCCAGGTGGGCGGCGCAGCCAGATCTCCTCGTGCAGGCTGCCCTGCAAGAAAGATGTGCTGAAGTCAAGAGAGTGCAGCTCGTAGTCACGCTGAGCAGCGACATGTAGCAACACCCGAAGAGTGGTCATCTTCGGGGTGGGGGAGAAGGTCTGGAAGTAGTCAACCCCCTATCGCTAACTGAAGCCTCTAGCAACGTAACGTGCCTTGAAGGCAGGCGGAGAACCCAGCGGCCGCTTCACCCTGAAAATCCACATGCCATCGACTATGTTCGCCCGAGACGGGGGAACTACGTCGACGTAGGTGCATGTGGACTTCCATGATGCCATCTCGGCATCCATGGTTGCGTGCCACTGAGAGGAGTAAGGACCCGTAATCGCCTCTGCGTAAGAGCGAGGGGTCGGGATTTCTGGTGCAAACGAGGTACAGCAGCTAAAAGACACTCAAGTCTTCCTGCCTGTCCTCAAGGACGTCCGTGCCAAGAGCATTCTCACCCCCAACGGATGGAGGACTGGCAGACTCAGACTCAGCAAAAAGAGCAGTGGCGTAGTCTAGACGACAGGCAGCAACAAAGTCAAGCAGCTCAGCAACGAGGGCCGATACAGCAGCGGACTCAAAAGTGGCGAGGAGACGAGAGACAGTGGGATTGGCAGCACGAGCGCGGTCAGACTCAGGGTCAGGGACCTCAAGAAGAGAGGACTCAGGAGGAGGCGGCAGAGGAACACGCAGTGGAACAGAGGAAGGACGAAGTGCCATAGCGTGCGTGCCGGGGACAGGAGGAGGACGCGAACGAGGAATGCAACGAGCAGTGCAAACAGGCGAGACAGGACGAGACGCAGGCTCACGACGCTCTGTAAGACCGCCGGTCTGCTCAGTGTAAGGAGGAGCAGGCAGTGGGGAGGCTGGCTGCAACGGCAGCTGCGACTGGTCAGGCGGTGGACACAATAAGGGAGGAGTAAGGCTAGTAGAAGACGGGACACCAAGAACCTGCTGAAGCAGGGGAACGAAGTACGGTCGCGGCCGCACAGTGCCTCCAGGGTCAACAGCTCCAGCTCCTCCAGCTCCAGCGCCTCCCGCACTAGTGCCTCCGGCTCCAACTCCTCCAGCTCCAGCGCCACTAGCGCCAGTGCCTCCAGCTCCAGTGCCTCCAGCCCCAGCAGCTCCAGGCTCCGTAGGGTCTCCAGCTCCAGCGCCCCCAACACCACCAGTCCCGGCAGCTCCAGTACCCCTGGTACGAGCACCTCCAGGACCAGTAGCCGCAGTACCTCCAGTACCACCAGCTCCAGTAGTAACTGCAGCACCTCCAGTTCTAGTGTCTTTAGTGCCTCCAGCTCCGGTAGCTCCACTCCGAAGGCGTGCGCGCCGAACAAGCCACTCACGCAGCTGCTGCGGGGAGAGAGTCTCCGGCTGCGGAGAGAGTCTCGGCAAAGCACCAGCAGGACCTCCAGACGAAGTAGCAACCCGAGGCTCAGCAACCCCAGACTCTGCACCCTCCGACTCAGCACCCCCAGGCTCAACACCCTCAGGCTCAGCACCCCCAGGCTCCACACCCGCAGGCTCAGCACCCCCAGGCTCCTCACCCGCAGGCTCAGCACCCCCAGACCCAGCACCCTCAGACTCCGCACCCCCCGGCTCCGCACCCCCAGACGCAGCACCCCCAGACGCAGCACCTCGAGCAGCACCTGAGCCGACAGCTACCTCAACAGGCAAAGTACCAGGGAGAGGGTCTACCTGAGACACACCTGAGGGAGCAGGACCCTGAGGGGGGAGGGGGTCTACCGGAGGGGGACCTGGAGCAAGGAAGAGCGGCGGGGGTGGGGGAGGGGCAGAGCGGTAGGGGAAGAGACGGTAAAAGGGAACCGACTTGTCAAACGCGTCCTAAGAGGGGAGGACACGGCGCGAGGTGGGGTGGTAAAACTGCCAGCCAAGCGCGTCAAGGGGAAAATCCAAGGAAGACGCAGGGAATAGAGCGGGCGGAGACCTTGTCCGCGGACGTATTGCGAACAAAGGCACGAGAACCCCAGACCCGGAACACCGACGCATCGCCAACCTTCCCCGTCCAACACAGTGTAGGCGAGGTCTCCGGTAAGGAGACACGGGGCCAGAGGTTGAGCTGATGCGCAGCGTACCGGACCGCAAACGACCACAGAAAATGGGGAGCAGCCGCATGGATCATGGAGGTACGAGCGACCTCCATGACTAAGTCAATGAGGCGCTCAGCAATCCCATTTTGCTGAGGGGAGTCTGGAAGCGTGAACGACTGGAGAATGCCCTCCCCACAACAAAAGTCCCGCAACAGGTCGGAGGAGAACTCACCACCTCTATCAAGACAGGAAGGTCCTGGCGGAACCGCTCGCGGAGCTAGAGACGGACTACGCGGATCCAAGGGATCAAGACATCAACGACCTGACCCTTGCTGCGCAAGGGGAAGACCGTGGTGTACCGCGTGTAGTCGTCAACAACCAGCAGAAAGTAGCGCTCGCGGCCCTGTCCACTGACGCGGGCTAGGCCCCACACGTCCATGTGGAGAGTCTGCAGGGGAGCAGTTGTCAGGGGAAACGAGGAGTGAGGAGCGGCGCGCTGCCGCCCCTCGACGCAAGGAAGGCAGGGCGGGGCAGGCGAGGGCGGGAGGGGAGGGAGAGACCTGGGAAGACCAGAGACAAGGAGATGGGGTGCATGCCACGAAGGTGTGGCAGGGAGGGGTGACCAAGGCAGTGGTGCCACAGAAGAGTCTGGTGCGACAGGAGGCGACACGAGCAAGGGGGTGCTACCTGACCTGATGCGGACACCTGGGCAGACGCAGCTACCTGAGGAGGCTCGGTAGCCAGTGTGTACAGACTCGAACCTGGCCGACGAGTGAACGTGTCCAGGTGACGACCCATCCATGTACACATGCAGATCGACACACGCTGACCCCCAGGAGTGGTGGTAGTGACCATCGAACCCTGGAGGGCAGCGGTACTCACCAAGTTCGTAGAGAACAAGGGGAGGTGAAGACCTGACAGTGAGCCGGACGGAACCGCCGGACACGGGAGGACGGTGGAGGAACGGGCAACGACTGGGCCCCCGGAGGGGTCAGCTAGTCTGACCAGGACAGGTGCAGGGAGAGGAGTGAGGGTGGTGCTGTCACAAAAGAAACAGCGTGAGGCACCTGAGTCCAGCGTGAAGGTGTGCAAGGCCTCAGCAGGCGCAGAACCAAGGAGAGAAGAATCACTAGCACCTAGAGCAGCAGCCTCTATACCTGGGTCAGGCGGCACACACCGGTAACAGTCACCCTCAGCACTAGCAGACAAAGCATACATAGCAGAAAGAATAGCATCATAGTCTAGGTCAAAGATCGCAACTCCAGACCTAAGCAGCTCTGCGCAGTGGGGGCGCTCGACCTCGTCACCAAACTCAGCGCGCCAAGCGTTGTCGAGGCGGGAGAAGCAGCGATGCTGAGTGTGGGGCTTCCCGCATGTCTGACCAGCACGGTCACCCGTGCGAATGACATACGGGCAGCTCACACTACCCCCAGACGCCCCACGCTAAAAGAACCACTCACAAAGCTGTTGGGGCGACAGGGTCTCGCTCCGACGCTGCTGCCGATGCCTCTGGCCTCCTCCAGAACCTCCACGCTGAGCACCAGTCCTACCGCCACCACTCCCACCGCTGCCACTACCGCCACTCCCACCGCTGCCTCCACCGCCGCCACCAAAGCCCCCACTCCCGCCACCACTCCCACCGCTGCCACCACCTCTTCTGCCTCCACTACCTCCACTACTGCCCCCACCACCACTCCCGATGCCACCGCCACCACCCCTGCCACCCTTGCCCTTGCTGCTGCGGCGCTTCTCACTATCAGAAGCAGCCCCGACGTCCTCAGCACCAAGGACGTCAATAGCAGCAGCAGAGGCGTAGGAGGGGGCAAGGGGGGAGGGGGAGCATCCCTCAAAGAAGGGCGTGCGCGGAGTGCCACGAGCAGCACCTACAGCAACTACACTAGTCTCAGCTGCAAGGAGGTGCTGCTCGAGGAGGTCAACCATGAGAACTGTGGTGTCGAGGGATAGAAAGTGGTCCCTGACAGAGCGAAGAGAGTCAGGGAGGCGGGTGACTATAAAGTAGAGAGTGATGAACATCGGGGGCTGGTTCCTGTCAAGGAACTCAGCTGGGGCGGCAGTGCGGTAGCGAGCGTCGCTAGTGCGAAGGTGGAAAACCAGGTCCTCGACTGTGGCAAAGGCGGACAGCTCGGGGAACAGGTAGGGCAGTAGGAGGCGGCCTAGAGCAGCAGTGGCAGGCGAGGAGTTGCGAGCGACGACAGCATCGTACAGTGCCTGTGCTGTCCTGTGCTGTCCAAAGTGAGCGCATTCGGTCAACGGCAGGTGGTTGCGAATGGCTAAGTAGGCAGCAGCGTCGCGAGTAAGCCACTGTGAGCGGGTCGCACTGTCAGCTGTGGCGGGAGGGGCGGGAGCGGCGCCAGACGTGTGGTCAAACAACGAAACGCTGTCCCTAGAGTCGCTCAGTAGGTACAGCTGCAGGTCGTTGAGCCACGTGTCAAACTGCAGGGGGCGACCCTCATGATCGAACGCTAGCACGCGGAGAGAAGCCATAGTGGCGCAGCACGCAAAGCGAGGAGAAGCAGGGCAGCGCAGAGCAAAGGAACAGTGAGAGGGCCGCAAGGGGCGGCTAGCAGAGTAGCAGGGGCGGCACGCGGGGCTGCAAGGGCGTCTCGCGAGCTGCAGGGTCGAGGGGCGGGCCGGAAGGGGCGGCTCGCGGGGCCTGGGGTCGACTGGCGCGGGCCTAGGGGCGACAGGCGCGGGCCTAGGGGCGACGGGCGACTGGCCGAGGCGTAGAGGCGTAGGTCGCGGGCTTGGAGGCGTCGGGCGACGGGCCGGGGCGCCTGGCCTAGGGGCGACGGGCCGGGCTAGGGGCGATCGGCCTACGGGCCGGGCGAGGGGCGACGGGCTGGCCTAGGGGCGACGGGCCTAAGGGCGACGGGCCGGGGCGACGGGTTCTAGGGGCGACGGGCCGAGGGGCGACGGGCCGGGCTAGGGGCGACAGGCCTACGGGCCGGGCTAGGGGCGACGGGCCGGCCTAGGGTCGACGGGGCACCGGGGCAGAGGGTCGACGGGGCGGGTCGCGGGCCTAGGGTCGACGGGGCGCGCGGGCCTAGGGTCGACGGGGCGCGCGCGGGCCTAGGGTCGACGGGGGGCGCGCGGGCCTAGGGTCGACGGGGCGCGCGGGGCGAGGGTCGACGGGGCGGGTCGCGGGGCCTAAGGTCGACAGGGCCGGGGCGACAGGCCTAGGGGGCGACGGGCCGGGGTAGGGGCGACGGGCCTACGGGCCAGGCTAGGGGCAACGGGCCGGCCTAGGGGCGATGGGCCTAGGGACAACGGGCCGGGGCGACGTGCCGGGCTAGGGGCGACGGGCCGGCCTAGAGGCGACGGGCCTAGGTGCGACGGGCCGGGGCGACGGGCCTAGGGGCGACGGGCCGGGGCGACGGGCCTAGGGGCGACGGGCCGGGCTAGGGGCGGCTAGTGGGGCAGCGCATTGGTGGGCCCAAGGAATTTTTTTTTGTCCTAGCGAAGGACCTACTCTGAAACCATGTCAGAAGAATGAACGAGAATGAATGAACTATGAAACAGTTGGGTACAAGTACTAACCCTAATTTGGTTGTACCCCCTATGGGCTACCCCACTATAGCCTACACAAATGTAAGCACTATAACATTCTGACAGCTACATCTACCGACTCGAACCTATCGGCCCCATCTCGTGGCAGTCGAGCAAGCAAGAGCTAATTGCTCTCTCCTCAGCTGAAGCAGAATATATCGCACTCTGCTCAGCCACCAAGGAAGGATTGTACCTTCGCGAACTACTGGAAGAAGCGAAGCTGGCTAAGTTACTCAGCTTCTCCCTATTCTGCGACAACCAATCGGCCATTCGCATAGCGAACAAGAACGGGTTCGCAAATCGAACGAAGCACATCGCCCTCCGGTACTTCTTCGTAAAAGACGAAATCAAGAAGGGGAGACTTGAGCTATCCTACTGTCCCACATCCGAGATGGCAGCCGATTACTTGACCAAGAAACTCGGAAAGCAGAAGTTCGAGTATTGCATGCTGCTGACTGGACAAGGCCACGTCATCAGCAGCGACACTCCAGAAGCGAAGGGGAGTGTTGGAAACAAGCAATTTAACGCTCCTGTTGTGTCGAAACAATAGACTACAAACGAGGCGAATCACAGCGGAGCAACGGCGAGTCAACCGAGGAGGTTGACAGAAAGTAACAGCTGGAAGTTACGCGAAGGTCAAAGGTCAGCGACCCTTGACTTGACGAAATACAGCGCGACAGCAAGGACAAACAACTGACTCGGTATTGAGCAGTTGCCCGAGTCGTCACTGTATCGAACCGCAACAGCCAGGGCCTCAGAAGTCAGGATTTTTACCCTGAATTCCTGAAGTTTGACCCTCGTTTTTTATCATGACCCTGATGCATCAGCCTTTTGTTTTTAAACGACCCTGATGTTTCAGTGTTTCTTAATTTCGAACTCTGATTTTTCAGTGTTTATATCGAGTGCGACCCTGAATCTGAAATTCCCGTCTTGCCTTTTCGCCGTGATTGGCGCCGTGACTTGCTACCTAGGCAGCCAACCACGGTACCTACAGTGCGTTTTCGCCATGATTGAGCCCATGAGCCATAACGATTGCCCAAATTCCTCGCTAAACAAAGTCCCTTGACGAGTACAGGAATAACAATCAGTGACTGTTCAGCCTTTATATTTTTTGTACACTGAAAAATCAGTGTTTTCAACACGACGACACTGAAAATCAGCGTTGGCCTTCAAGGGACACTGAGCGATCAGCGTGCCCCAAAACGAATTTGAGGGCCTGGCAACAGCAAACCAGTTAGTTGTGTTGGGCTGAGTGCCCCTTAGGATCTTTGGTAGGGTTAAACTCTGGGTAGAGTGATGTAGTAGCGGAAGCGTTTAAATGAAGTCCTTGAACCACCTTGCGCTGGTATGTGAGGGCAAAGTAAGTTGATTAAAACAAGCAAGTACAAAGGTTTATATAAGAGTACAAAGAATACGAAGAGATATAATTAAACTGTTTTACTGTTGCGGTTCGATACAGTGCGACTCGGGCAACTGCTCAATGTCGAGTCAGTTGTGTGTCCTTGCTGTCGCGCTGCATTTGTCAAGTCAAAGGTCGCTGACCTTTGACTTTCGCGTAACCTCCAGCGGTTACTTCAACCTCCGAGGGTTGACTCGCTGGTGCCTCGATATGCTCTGCTTCGCTTGTGTCTTGGTGTTTCGACACGACAGAGGCGCTTAAGATTGTTTGTTCCCAACAAGTTGCACCTTTTCGTATTCCTTGTAATCTTATAAAAGCCTTTGTATTACCTTGCTATAATCAATCTCTTGCTCTCAGAGACTAGTGCAATTTGGTTCAACAAAGTTCACTAAGAACGCCTCCGCAATTACAACATTCCTACTCAGGGTCTTAGCCTTGGAAAGATCCTAAGGGCTTTTATCAGCCCAACATACGTAACCACATCTATGCAGTGTTGAATATGTAGATGTCGCATTGTGAAGGAAGGACTTTCACTAAATATGTATACATCTCAGGTCATGGAAACAATAACACTCTAGATGGGCAAAGCCTTCTTCCACTTCCTACTGATATTTTTTATATTGCTGAATTTCATGACATTGCATAAGGCTATTCTGGAACGTCAGAAGCATACTACGAGTTCTGCCTCTGCCTCGTGTTTAGCGAACCTATCCCTGCTTCCTCTTGTTTATTCGCAGGGATGACATTCGCGGTATTGACATTCTCGGCATTAGCATTCACAGAGCTCTGTGACACGGGACTCATGAGCAGAGTCAATTCCAATCCCTCCAATCCCTCCAAATCCTCACCCTGTCTCACCCCAGTCTGCAAGGCCGCATCAGCATGACTGATTTGAGTCAGAGTATCCACAGTAGCTAAAGCAGGAGCTACTTCTGTATCCATTGCTCCTCTCATGCTCCTGCTCCCTCTCCCTCTCCCACTTCCATTCCCTCTTTCGGCACCCCTCCCAGTCTCTTCCCTCCCTCCTCGTCCTGTACCTTCTTCGGTAGAAGCCATTCCAGTGTATGCCTTATTAGCTTCCTCGTTAAAAGCCCTTTCAGTGGAGACTGTTCTTAGGTGTAACGGAATTCCCATTGCTGCAGTATGAAGAGCCGTAGCTAGAAAAGTGGAAGGGGGGATTGTCATCTCCGTGCTCACTGTGGCAGTTGAAGGGGGTGCTAATAAAGGAGATATTGATGAAGGAGGTATCAGAGAAGGAGCGAACGAAGTTGCTCTAAATGAAGGTGATTCGAACGAGGTTGGTTTTAGTGAAGGCAGGGCGTCTCGACGAGGCATGGGGCCAACGTACTGCAGCAGGCTCGGTTGTCCGTCTGCAAGGCTCGGGCATTGGCCGAGGTTCGGACCGAGGCTAAAGTTTAGGTTGCGGCCCAGGCCTGCGCCCAGGGTTGGATTGCGTTCCAGTAGCTGCGGAATCGATAAAATAGCAGCAGGAGAGGCAGTGGCAGTGGCATTGGCAGTGGCAGCAGAAGCAACGGGTGAAGCAGCAATAGCAGGAGCCGCAGGAGCAGCAGCAGAAGAAGGAGCAGCTGGATCAGCAGAAGAAGCAGGAGAGGCAGCAGTAGCAGCGGATACTCGACGCTGTGATGCTTCCTTCAAGCGAGATCTACCGCCACTAGTAGCAGCAAGAGTGCCAATACTAGGACCAGCACTAGCTGCAGCACTGGCATCAGCACTAACGGCAGCGGTAGCACTAGCACTAGCACTAGCAGCAGCGCTCCCACCAGCACCAGCACTAGCAGCAGCAGCAGCAGCAGCAGCAGCAGCAGCAGCAGCAGCAGCAGCAGCAGCACTGCCACTGCTGGCACCAGAAGTGGAAGGGGGGTGCATCACGCTCGCCTTGCGTTTTGATGGAGAATAAGAAGTGGGTTGTGATGGGAGATTGGGGCAAGATTTGAAAGGTGCAGCTGTGGCGCTACCACCAGCACTCCCTCTCGCTCGATCAGATAACCCCTCTCTACCTCCGTCTCCTATGCCTTCTTCTCCTCTCCATCTTCCCCCTCCTCCTCTTCTCCCTCCCCCTCTCCCTCCTCCTCCCCCTCCCCCTCCCCCTCCTCCTCCCCCTCCTCCTTCCTCTCCCTCTCTTCCTCCCTCCCCTCCTATACCTGCTCCTCTCACTACTCCTCTCCCTCCTGCCGGTCCTGTTTTAGTCGCTGCTGCTGCTCCAACCTCCCCCTTTCGAGACGCCCTCTTACGTCGCACCACATGGCACGTCATGTGACCACCAAGTGCCTGCGACGTGGGGAAAACGTTGCCACAGACAGGACAAGAATACCCGCCCGGTCTCTGCCCTGGCATGCCAGGGAGCGTATCCAAAGGAAGGTGAGCTGGAGGATGGGCGGCGGCATGCGGCGGGGCGTTGAAACCAGCACCAGATGAAACTGAAACGGTCCCACCACCACCACCACCACCACCACACCACCACCACCACCACCACCACCACCACCACCACCACCACCACCACCACCACCACCACCACCACCACCACCACCACCACCACCACCACCACCACCACCACCACCACCACCACCACCACCACCACCACCACCACCACCACCACCACCACCACCACCACCACCACCACCACCACCACCACCACCACCACCACCACCACCACCACCACCACCACCACCACCACCACCACCACCACCACCACCACCACCACCACCACCACCACCACCACCACCACCACCACCACCACCACCACCACCACCACCACCACCACCACCACCACCACCACCACCACCACCACCACCACCACCACCACCACCACCACCACCACCACCACCACCACCACCACCACCACCACCACCACCACCACCACCACCACCACCACCACCACCAGCAGCAGCACCACCACTTGAACCAGCAGCAGCAGTATTTTCCCATGTTGCGAGTTCTGGGATTGTCTCACCTTCTGCTGCAGTGGCAGCAGTGGCAGCAACATCAGAAGCAGCAGCAGCAGCTGCAGCAGTGGTAGCAGCTGCAGCAGTGACATCAGCTGCAGCAGTGGCAGCAGCGGCAGCAGTGGCAGCAGTGGCAGCACTAGCAGCAGCAGCAGCAACAGTTGCAGAGGGAGCGAAATTTGATACTCCAAACCAGAAGGACAGGAGGGCCTGAGCTTGCTCACTCAAAACGACCTGAGTGCGCTGATGCTGCTCGGCTGATTGAATCTGAAGTTGCTCGGCTGATTGATGCTGTGCTTGTTTCTGGGCTTGCTGCTGTGTCTGCTCTTGTGCTTGCTGTTCTGCTTCTTGCATTTCCTGCCTCTGCCTCGCCTGCTGATCCAGTTGCGTCAGAAGAAGCAGCTGCAGCTGTTGTTGTGAGAGTGATTGTGCTGCATGTTGTTGTGTCTGCTGCTGTGCCTGCTGTTCTGCTTCTTGCCCCTCGTGCCTCTGCCTTGCCTGCTCCTCCAGTTGCCTCAGAAGAAGCAGCTGCAGCTGTTGCTGCTGCTGTGCGTGTGACTGTGCTGCATGCTGTTGTGTCTGTTGCTGTGCCTGCTGTTCTGATTCTTGACCCTCGTGCCTCTGTCTCGCCTGCTCCTCCAGTTGCCTCAGAAGAAGCAGCTGCAGCTGTTGCTGTTGCTGTGAGAGTGTTTGGGCTGCCTGTGGTTCTGCATGTTGCTGTGCCTGCTGCTGTTCTGCTGCTTGCACCTCCTGCCTCTGCTTTGCTCGCTGCTCAAAACCCTGCTGCAGAAACAGCAGTTGCTGCTGCATCAGCTGCTGCTGAATCTCCATCCTCTGACTCTGCTTTTTCTGCAATTGCTCCTGCTCCTCCCCAGCTTGCTGCCGTGCTCTCTGCAGCAAGGCTTGGTGCTGCTGTTGCAGCTGCTCCAGCCACTGACTCTGCTGCTGAGCCTGCTGCGATTGCTCCTGCTCCTTCTCAGCTTGCTTCTGTCGAGCTCTCTGAGGCAACTTTTGGTGCTGCTGCAGCATTTCCTGCTGCTGACTCTGCTGCTGCATATCCTGCCACTGACTCTGCTGATGAACCTGCTGTGATTGCTCCTTCTCAGCTTGCTGCTGCTGCATCTCATGCCTTCTCTGCTGCTGCTGCTCAGCTTGCTCCTGAGCTCTCTGCAGCAAGGCTTGTTGCTGCTGCATCTCATGTTGTTGTTGCTGCTGCCCTTGCTGATGCTCTTGCTGCTCCTGCTGTTGCTGCCTCAGTTGCCGAAGCAGCAACAGTTGATGTCGCTGCTGCAGGTACGACAATCCAGCAGCAGCAGCCACTGCGGCAGCTTCGGCTGCGGCCTTAGTGTCACTCTCTCCCATTGTAGCGTCTCTGTTCCCCATCCATGTGCCGTCTCTTCGCATAACTCTCCCCATACCTGTCCCCATGCCTTTTCCCATGCCTGTACCCATGCCCGCACCCATGCCCGCACCCATGCCTGTACCCATGCCCGTACCCATGCTTGTAACCATGTCTGTTACCACGCCTGTTCCCATGCCTGTACCCATGCATGTTCCCTTGCCTTTATCCATCCCCATACTCCCCCTCATCGCAACTCTTCTATCCCCCTCATCGTCGTTACTCCTCTCTGCTCCCTCCCGACCTGTCTCATCCGTTCTCTCTTCATCATCTCTAGAAGCACCACTACCCCTAAACCTTTTCCTCCCTTCTCCCTCCCTTGTCCTCCCTTCCCCCTCACTTCTCCTCCCTTCCCTCTCCTTTATCCTCCCTTCCCCCCCCACTCTCCCCCCCTCTCCTTCCCCTTCCCTTATCGTCCCCTCCCCTTCCACATCCCCTGCCCTTATCCTTCCTTCCCCGGCCCTTATACCATCCCCCCTAGGGCTTTTACAGTCTTCTTCTGACCGAGGTTCAAACAGATTCAGCAGGCGAGGGGAAGGAGCGTTTCTGGGTACTGCATCATCTTTTACCGAGTATGATTCTAGCACTGCTGGTACTGTCTGTGACTGTAATGAGCGTCCTTGTAACAGGGCGGGAACTGCAGCAGCCGCAGCAGTGCCATCAAGAGAGATGGGAATAGTACCACGTGCAGGACTGGGCGGCAGCAATGATAGTGTTTCCAAACGATGCCGCCCGGAACCAGAAACTGCCGAGGCCTCGCCGCCTGGCGCAACCTCAGTCTCTGCCGCCCAGCACCTGGAGCCGACGCCTGCTGACGTGGTAACGGCGGGTGATGACGCGGCCATACGTGTGTCAAGGAGGGGGAACGCAGTTGGAAGAGGGGGAGGGGGAAAGGGCGGAGGACGGGGAGGAGGAGGAGGAGGAGGAGGAGGAGGAGGAGGAGGAGGAGGAGGAGGAGGAGGAGGAGGAGGAGGAGGAGGAGGAGGAGGAGGAGGAGGAGGAGGAGCAAAAGGCTGGCTGAAATCGTGGCTTGACATTTGGGTGGTTTGAGTTCTCGGGATAAACTCAGACGAATGGAGGAGAGGGAAAGGAAGAGCCCCTGGGAAAGGGAGGACTGGAGAGGGGAGGACAGGGGAAGGCAGGATTGGAGAAGGGAGGAGGAATGGAGAAGGAAGGAGAGAGGCCGCTGATGTCATGGTTTGAATGGTGGAGAGGGAGGAGGAGGAGGAAAGCCATCCGGTTTGCTCCGGTATAGGCAGATCCGTTAAGGAAAGAGGGCCTCCCAGCGGCCGGGGGGCGGATTCAGAGAGAGCTTCGAAGGAGAGAATCGGCGGATTCCGCAAAAAGCTCCCCCGGGCTGGCCCGGTGGCGGGAGCTGCGCCCGCGGAGCCCGCGGCGGCGCCGGCGGCAGAGGCGGCGGCGGCAGAGGCGGCGGAGGAGGCGGCAGCGTCCAGATAGGGGTTCACAGAGAAGCGCGCCGACTCTGTGGCGGCGCCGCTTGCGCCGCCGATGGCGGCGGCAGCGGCTGCGCCAGCCGCTTGGCTCCACTGAAGCCGCGGTGACTCTTCGTGCAGCGGCAGCGGCACCGGATTCCGCGCCGCCGCCGGCGCTGGCGGGGGTTGCGCATTGGATCGGACATGCTGATGTGATGATGATGGTGAAGGGATCACCATTAGTCACGTCTTTGTGTAAAAAAAGTTCACTACCGCCCTGATAATCCCTGTTTTGTCCCACTGGTCCAGCGGGGCGTTTTAATCATTCGTGCCACGCAAGTAGCTCCGCATCCGGCGCCGTCGCCCCCGCGGCGCTTGTTGCTGCTACCGCGAGATCGCAGGTCAGAAAAAAAACGTCGCTGGACTTTCTAAGTTTCACAGGGTCACGGCTCTCGAAAAAAACGGCTTACTACTAAGAACGAGTTTCACAACGCTGACATTTGCACGCAGGAATGAATGATTCTGGCAGGCAAACAGAGTCGCTATACGGCCAGGCAATGCAGCCTTGAGAGATGCGCTCTTGGAGTCCCTCTGGCCATTCTGCTCCTCCGTTGTCACTAATGAGGGATGAGTCTCACGAATCCCGCGGGACAGCCACAAATAGAAAGAACTGGCGCAACTTGTGGTGCCTCGTTTCAGAAATCACGGAGCGTAGTGGCTGCTGCTTGCTGCTGCTGCTTGCCTGTGGTGGTCTTTCCATTCCCAGCAGCGATTCAGTGTGGCTAACTACAAAACAGAAGTCGCAAGTCCTATAGGCTGTGTCCTAGCAATTAGACAGCTAAGAAAGAGCGGTACTGTACAGTTCAGGCGAGACACAAATTCCAGAGTTGCTGCGGCTGACTGCCATTTTCTGCCAGAGTGTCTGATTTGCTGTTATTTTGGGTAAATAGTGAAATTACAAACAGTTCGTGATCCATCCGCGGGCGGATCACGTTCCTTCTTGCGAAAGCGGGGATTTGCTGTAGCCATATCTCAGTTTATCCAGAGCAAATATCCCTAGGAGGATCACTAAAGCACTGCTTTCAGCAAAACACAGCATTCGCGATGTAGGGTGATTTGGGTTGTGTGGAGGGACGTGATGTGACGTGAGGCGCGCGTGCAAGCCTGGAACGAGTGTGGCTTTGAAAGGTGAGGCGACAGCTTATCTCCGTGGCACTACAGTACGATGGAGCAAAAAAGGATTCACTTATGAGTTTTGCGTGGACAACATTTGCCGGAATTAAGGAAGGACCCACACTTCCACGACTTTGTTATCCACACACTAGGTGCTGGGTTTGAACGGAAATTGGACAGTGAAGTGAATGCTGTTTTGGGGGCAGAAGCCACTGCTGACGCAGGAAATCATTTCACGTCCACCTCGCGCATGCCGCGATATTCGTTTTTCATTGGTCACTGCATTGTTGGCCCGTTCGCAGCGGGTGTGTGCTTCCATCCAATTTGTACCTGTTTCGAGATGTTCAGGACGTGGCCCAGACCGCCTCAGCTCTCCCCGATCAGAGGCGATCAACAAATTCCAGGAAGCCCGAGGTCAGTTTCAGGCAATCACGGGCAATCAGTTGATCGCCATCAATTGATCGCCCCAGCTCGATTGACCGCCTCAAATACCCCAATCAATCACAATCACACAATCAGTCACGATCACTTGATTGCAGGGGTTTGGGGATCTTGGCGACGCCCGCGAATAAGATAAAGCGTCTCGTTAATCTCGCCAAGTGTATTTTTTGAGATATTACATGGAAACATAAAATCGCTACGTTTTCGCCCTCACCAAAGGTGCGTGGTCAGTTTTAGCCAGTACACCGAGTCCTCGCCAATTTCACGCCCCGTCAGTGCTTCCTTAAAGCCACACTGACCTTTTTTGGCTATAGGGATCAGACACCCACGAACTAGAGGCTATCCGAGGCATTGTAAAGTTTCGATATTTCCCCGTCTGGCGTTGAGATCGCAACGCAAAGACTGAATCTTCCGCTGCGACCAAGTTTTATTTGTGTTTATTTCGCTGACTCATGTGGGCAGTCCCAGTCGTTGCTTTCCTTGAAACCAAATCGTTTGAAACAACCTTCAAACTCGGGTAAATAAAAAACGAATACACAGGGGTGAAATCGGCCCTAGTGAAGTTAGCGAGGACTTGGTGTAATCACGGTGTGTCACGTGATAGTGACGTCATTCATTTGATGATCTGATCGCATGCACCACTGTACTTGCACATCCGAACTGAAGGCATTCTTGCTGACATGACATCCCATCCCACTCAAAATACAATGTCCTTACTGGGAAATCCTGGGCGCTACCTGCCCGAAAAAGGGTAAACTAAGAATACCACACAGCGCAAACTACACACTTACATCACCAGCCTCGCCAGTCCCAACTTATGTGAAGTGCTTTTTTGCACTCATAAGACTCGTGGGGAGCAGGGATGCTAGGAGAGGAAATCGAACCAATCCTGATTCTTCAGAGATGGTTACAACAAAATGAGAAGCAAGGAACTACAAAGTCATATCACTGCATTTCGTAAACCGAACCATTGTTTGAAACAAACACCCCACACCCAGTTCATGTGTGTACAGTAAATCACGATGTACCAGACAAAAGAGGCCTGGACAGCCCGTCATGGAACTGTTGAGTTCACAATCTGCATGCAAGACAGTAAACAGACAGCGCGATTTCTGTACAGTAAGCTCCCTAAGCCAGGCCAACGCGTTGATCATTGGAACAGCCAAGCGCCACTGCTTGCGTATCCCACGCTGTCGTTGTGCGGCGATATATTCTTCCCTCATAGCACGGGCAACTCAAGTGGGTGATTTTGATTGAAACCTAATACAGTACTCTTGCATCTCAATGGATGTAGTATCAAATGCACTCTAATTCGTATAATGGATACATTCTAATAAAGATACAATTTGAGTCCCTTTTGTTTGAAGGGTTGAGGAACCGTTTGCTTATATTTAGATCGAAGCGGTAATTTCGGTAGCATACCTTTTGGCACATATATTACATGACAATAGATAGAACATAAAGGGTTAATCAGAGTCACTGCACGAGCTGTCGTCCCCAAACAGTTGAAACCAGCTGTGAGCTGCACTATGTGAAGAATCCACTCCATCAGTTTGACATAAAGTGGGGCTGGTTTGTCGTAAGGTAGATACCTTTTCCCCAAGAGCAGTCCCCTACATACAGTACAAGTGAAAGTAGGTAAAAAAACATGTTACTTAAAATAAAATTTGTAACACAAAAAAGGCTCAATACAACATTTGGATCAAATGGATGATGGTCATTCATCGGAATTGATTCTGATGCAGTAAGTTCAGAAGTACTCTTTCGCAAGCATGCACATACCTTTGTCTCTGATGCAAAGCATGCAGTAACGAGGGCAGCAAAAACAGGAACGAAGACAAAAAGGAGGATAGCCAACTCCTGCATTAGAAAACAAGAAAGGAGGAGATACAAATAGATCTGAGATGCCACAGTAAAAAGGTTAATGAAATCCGCAGGCGGCAAGTGCATCAGGATAGAACATGAGCTAATCAAGAGGCAGACATAGTAGTGGGGGGGGTATCGAAAACAAGAAGAGAGCACATCAGAAAACTACTGAGTCCTGAGGCACCTCAAAAGACAAAAGACAACAAAATCAAGTAGACATGTGAAAGGATGCACATGATGCAAACAGAGAGTTAACATCTTTTGAGGCGCCTCAAAAGACAAAAAGACAACGAAAACAAGTGGACACCAGAAAGGATGCACATGGTGCAAACAGAAAGCAAACAACAGATTTTGTACCATGCCAACAACACACACATAAAACACACGCAATGGATTCTGACATTCAAGATTTGTTGAACTATATGCCGGGGGCGGGGGGGAGGGGGGGGGAAGGGAGGGGGGAGGGGCGGAGAGAGGAACGCTAACACACACATGTGTATGTGTGTGTGTGCATGTGCAGGCTCGCACTGTTAGAAAAGGGCCAAAACATGTAACCACACGCAACAAACAAAGAGCAACCAAAACAAAAACAAAGAAAGAAAAAAATACAACCAAACTCACCCTGTGACTTCCTTCAATCAGCCCGACCGCCACAAATGGACAAAGAAAGCCGCCCAGCCTTGCCCATGAGTTTGCCACCCCGAGGCCCGTAGACCTTATCTCGGTCGGGTAAATTTCCGGGGTATATGCCCAGAGCACCGCAAATGAACCCATAATTGCTGCCCGGGCAGCAAAAAGAAAAATTGTGGTGGCAGTGGGTGGCAAGGGCTGAATAAGGGGCAGCAAAAAAAGCCCTGCTAAGCAGAGGAGAACCCAGAGGACGGTCTTTCGACCGAAAATTTCAACCCCGGTCAGCGCGATGAGTAGACCGGGCAGCTCTGCAGCTGAAGTGATAAAAACATCTGAATAGGTCTGGGAGGAAATTTCAGGTTGATTTTCAGGAGTGCAGCCCGGTATGGGAGAGGGAGATAGAGAGGAGGAAGAGGGAGGAGGGGAATACAAGGAAGATGGGGAGGTGGAGGAGGAGGAGGAGGAGGTAGGGGAGTGAGTGGCTGAGGAATTATCTGGGGTGGAGGTATCTTGTTGCTGGGTCAAAGCCAAGGAACGACGAAGTGAGGGAGGAGATTGTTGATGACTGGGTGTGCGAGGGCCGAGAAGAGGAGGAGGATGAGGAGAAGGCGGAGGGGGAGGGAGTGCGATCGCTACTGTAGGGATGGGATAGTCCTGTTCATTGAGCAAGCTTCTGGAGGGAACAGGTGAAGAGCCAGGGACAGGCGTTGACTTTTGAGACTCCTCAGAAATAGACTGTTCAGTGAGCAAGCCTCTAGAGGGAACAGGGGAAGAGCCAGCGGAATACGATGCATTTTCTCCCGCTGCTGCTGCTTCTACTGCTCCTCCTTCTGCTACTGTTGCTGTTGCCGCCGCCGCTGCTGCCGCTGATTCTGCATCTAATGCTGCTCCCCCTACTGATTGAGAGGAGTGCGGAGTGGTGGGTTGAAAAGAAAGCTGAGTGGTGGGTTGAGAGGAGTGCGGAATGGTGGGTTGAGTGGAGAGCTGAGTTGTTAGCAACACGAGCCCATAGTAAGAAAAGGCAGAGGCAAAAAAGAGCAGCCAAACGACAAGAGTGGAGCGCAGGAGGGAGGGGGAAAGGAGGCTCGCGAGCTTGTGGAGAGAGGAGGAGGAAGAGGAGGAGGAGGACGGGTGGGGAGGAGGAGGTAAGTGGGCATAAGGTTGGGAATGCTGGTGGTGGTGATGCGGACGTGGTTGGGGATGGGGATGAGGATGGGGTTGGGGGTCGGGATGCTGCTGGTGCGGCATCTGATCATTGGAATGTGAACCGTGTTGACTTCTTTCCTGAGCATAGGTTGGGTTCTCTGATACTGGTTGTGATGAGAGCGGCGAGAAGGAGGAGGGGGAGGAAGACGACGAAGAAGAAGAGCAAAGGGGGCGAGATGGGCTCGTGGTTTGGGGCGTTATGCTATGGAGTTTTCGGCTTCCTGCTGTAGGCTTTGCTTGGGAATCCTCAATCGAAGTCCTGGTCTGGAGCCTTGGGGATTCAGGTGCTGTGTCAGAACGGCGGGACTGAGATAAGGATGTTGCAGAGGAACAGACCGGGTAGTAAGAGGTGGAGGAGGAGGAAGGGGAATGGGGTTGTACAGTGGAGAGTGGAGGGGAGGAGGAGGACGCATGTGCAGGAGAAGGAGAGGGGGGGTGTGGTGATGCCAGGAGCTTTGGACCAGATGCGGCCGAAACTAGCCGCCCGGGTGGCAGGCGCTTGCCATTAGTTCGGGCGGCTTTTTCTAGGAATATGTGTGCTGCTGACGTGTTGCCTTTGAGCTGATTGGAAAGGGAAGAGCGAGGAGAAGAGAGAGGGTTGGGAGGAAAAGCGAAGATGGGGAGGAGTGAGGGGGTGAGAACGGGGAAGGATTAAGAAGGCAAGGGAATGTGAGTAAAGGGAGGAGAGAATGGGAGGAAGGGTTAGGAAAGAAGGCGAGAAAACACGAGAAGTGGGAGGAGAGGTAGGGCAAAGAGAAGGGAGGAACGAGAAGTGAACAAGGACGAGTGGAAAGGAGGAAGGAGAAGGAAAAAGAAGGGAGAGAGAGGATCATGATGAGTGGTGGGCTGCTGACATGACATTTATGTGAGTAGAGAATAATGAGCAAGAACAATTCTGTCTATTATTGAAATTCTTAATTCACTCCGATAGGCGAACAAGGAGGGGAAGAGAAGAGGAGCACAGGACATGGGAAAGACAGGAAGCGAAGAGAAGAGAAGGCGAGAGGAGGAAGGGAAGAATGGTGTCGGGTCGGGTTGGGTTGGGTCAGGTTGGGTTGGGTTGGGTTGGGTTGGGTTGGGGTAGAACAGAAGCAGGAGAGCAATAGGTGTGGTGGACACACGGTGTAGCTTGCAAACCCACTCACCCACACTCACCTACACTCACCCACTCACCCACCCACCCACCCACCCACCCACCACACACACGTCCACACACACTCATCCACACTCATCCACACTTACTCACACTCATCCACACTCATACACACTCAGACATACTCAGACACAGTCATCCCCATCGACCACACTCACCCCCGCTCACTCACCCACCAGACACATCCACATATCCATCCTCCCACCCACCCACCCACCCAGCCCACCCACCCACCGACCCACACACTCACCCATAGCGCCAACCTACCCACCCATAGCTTTCTACTGACCAGGAGAAACCGGGGTGATTCAGGAAGAAAGGGGTAGAGCAGCAGCAGGAGAGCAAAGGGCGTAGCAGAGAGGAGCACTAGCGCCCTGGGAGGGAAGCAAGAGGAGAGGGAGGAATCAAGGGCAGAAAGGGATACTGCGAATCAGGAAGGACGGGCTAAAGGGGCAGCAGAAGAGCAAAGGGCGCAGCAGAGAGGAGCACTAGCGCCCTGGGAGGGGGGCAAGAGGAGAGGGAGAGAGGGAGGGAAAGAGACAATTTGGCAACTCAGGAAGGAATGGGAAGTGCAGTAGCAGGGAGCAAAGGGCATTGCAGAGAAGAGCACTAGCGCCCTGGGAGGGAGGGGGACAAGACGAGGCGGAACGACGGTGGAGAATGAGGAGAGGAATGGAGGGAACGGAGCAAGAGGAGAAAGGAATATCGTGAGAGGAGGAGCGGGTAGAGCGGCAACAGGAGTACTAAGGAAGGAGGCAAGAGAGGAGCACTAAAGCCTTGGGGTGGAGGCAAGAGGTGGGAGGGGCAGGGAGTGTAAGCGAGGGAGAGAGACGGGCAGGGAGGGAGGGACAGGGAGGGACAGGGAGGGGCAGGGAGGGACAAGCAATGGCAGAACAGGCAGAGTGGGGTAGAGAGGGGCCGGGAGGAGTACCGAGGAGTATAACAGGAGAAAAGCACTAGGTGCGCTGGGCAGAAACGTTCTAAAATTTTTGAAACAGGGCAGAAGTACTTCCATCCAGAGATATGAAATAGGTTTGGTAAATCTCCATACCTCCAGTGTAGGCTCGGCATGACCGCCCAAGCAAGCGCTGCCTCTAGAAGCGACCCAATCTGGCAGGACAGGCGAGAGGCACGGGAAAGGCAAGAGTAATGGAGTGAGGCACGGGAGAGGGGAGGTACGGTGAGAAGCATGGGAGAGGCATGGAAGAGGCATGGAAGAGGCATGGAAGAGGCGTGGAAGAGGCATGGAAGAGGGGTAACCTTTGAGCATGTCACTTACTATGTGAACGGCACGAAGCATGTCGCTTACCATGGAACAGCACTAAGTATGTCACTTACCGTCCAGAAGAACTCAATAAACACGAGCCAGAACCCCCGACAGTCGGAGGGAAGGAATTCGGAGCAGAGGGAAAAGACCACGGATGCCCCTCCAATGCCGAACCCCACGAGGCAGCGCGAGACGAGGAGAGTGAGGAAGGTGGGTGACCATGCACTGAGTGGTGGAGTGGAGGGAAGAGGGAACAGGGGAAGAGAACGGTAAGAAGGAAGAGGAGAGGAGAATACTGAGTGAGAGAGGAGCACAGAAGCCCCTCCAATGCCAAACCCCACAAGGCAGCAAGAGATGAGGAGAGTGAGGAAGGTTGGGGACCATGCACTGAGTGGTGGAGTGGAGGGAAGAGGGAACAGGGGAAGAGAACGGTAAGAAGGAAGGAGAATACTGAGTGAGAGAGGAGCACAGAAGCCCCTCCAATGCCAAACCCCACGAGGCAGCAAGAGATGAGGAGAGTGAGGAAGGTTGGGGACCATGCACTGAGTGGTGGAGTGGAGGGAAGAGGGAACAGGGGAAGAGAACGGTAAGAAGGAAGGAGAATACTGAGTGAGAGAGGAGCACAGAAGCCCCTCCAATGCCAAACCCCACGAGGCAGCGAGAGATGAGGAGAGTGAGGAAGGTTGGGGACCATGCACTGAGTGGTGGAGTGGAGGGAAGAGGGAACAGGGGAAGAGAACGGTAAGAAGGAAGGAGAATACTGAGTGAGAGAGGAGCACAGAAGCCCCTCCAATGCCAAACCCCACGAGGCAGCGAGAGATGAGGAGAGTGAGGAAGGTTGGGGACCATGCACTGAGTGGTGGAGTGGAGGGAAGAGGGAACAGGGGAAGAGAACGGTAAGAAGGAAGGAGAATACTGAGTGAGAGAGGAGCACAGAAGCCCCTCCAATGCCAAACCCCACGAGGCAGCGAGAGACGAGGAGAGTGAGGAAGGTTGGGGACCAGGCACTGTGTGAATGAAGTGTGTGGGAAGATGAGAAGAGAGTGGTAAGAGGGGAGGGGAGGAGGCAAGAAGGAAAAAGGCGATGACGGCTGGTGGTATTCAAGTGATGCGCTCCTGATGGCAAAGCGAACTGCTTTGCTATGATCAAGCTGAAGAATCACCTGGAAAACCACCTGAAGAACAACTTGAAAACTACCTGGAGAAACACCTGAAACCACCTGAAGAGTTACCTAAAAAACCACATGAAGAATCACCAGAAAAAAATACTTAAAGAGCCACCTGAGAAAACACCTGAAGAATCACCTGAGCAAACCAGCGAAGAGAGTGAAGAGGGCAGTGGCCGTGAACCCTCTCCTTCTCCCATAAGCATCTGCCACGAGACCCCACACGTAAGAGCCCCTGCCATGGCGGATGCAAGACGGATGGGAGGAGGGAAGCGAGGAAGAGAAACAGGAGGCATTTGAATGCGAGGGCAGTGGCCGTGAACCCTCTCCTTCTCCCATAAGCATCTGCCACGAGACCCCACACGTAAAGCCCCTGCAACAGCAGATGCAGCACGGTGGAAAGGAGATGGAGGGAAGGAGATGAGGCTGTGTTCCCTACCTTAATAGCTTAGAGAAAAGGAGATGGAGGGAAGGAGAGGAGGCCGTGTTCCCTACCTTGATAGCTTAGAGAATTTGGGCAAGAAACACCACCATACTGGACTGGCTGGCTACAGGGCACTCCTCCCCTGCTGAGACCATTGCAGTAACGAGTGAGACTATATTGAGTTGACTGAAAGGGCACTTACAGAAATACACCTACAAACACCACACTCGCAATAAGGCTCTCCTCTGCTGCTGAGAGACCAAACTCACACCGAGCCTGGCGGGAAGGAAGGATGAGGGATACCATGGGATGACGCAAGGGAGGGGAAGAAACGAGGAAGAGATCTTCTGACATTTTCCAGTGAGCAGCAGTGCTTAGGTTCAGAGACAGAAGAAACAAGGCAGAGAGGGAAAACAATCCACTGCACTGGTAACGGTGGTGTGGTCAAAGGGTAGTTTAGAGGCCAATGGTGGTGGTGGTGGCGTGGTCTCTCAAAGCTGCTGAGAGACCAAGGGTATGCCGCAGCAAGCGATGCTTAACCAAAGTATCGCAGGGAAAATTAAATTAAACCACTTAGGCTTAAACTCACCACTGTTTGCACAAAAAGGCAAGGAGGAGAATCACTTCCATGATGTCAGCAAGCCAGGCAAGACATAACACGTGGCAGATTAGGCTAGACTATTACAGCACACCAGAATCAGTGTTTGAGGAATCAGAATGTCAAAGCTCAACAACACCAAGTTACACACCAGCTTCCTGCATATGCACACCATGATCAATCAGCATGGCAACACACCAGCTTCCTGCATATGCACACCATGATCAATCAGCATGGCAACACACCAGCACCTCACCGCTGGTCCAACAAAGGAGAGCACAATCATCTCCATGGCGTCAGCGAGCCATGAGCGACCCACCCAGAGTGTGCATCAGGTGCGTGTCTGCGCATGTTGAGACCAACCACGCACAGCAATCCATGAGACCAACCACGCACAGCAATCCATGAGACCAACCACGCACAGCAATCCATGAGACCACCACACTCACCGCTGGTCCCACAAAGGAGAGCAGAATCATCTCCATGGCGTCAGCGAGCCATGCGAGGCCAGTGTAACACACAAGGAAGAGCTGGTAGGGGCCGAAGCCTGGTGGGGGTTGGGGGGGGAGGAGGGGAAGAGGAAGGGAATGAGTGAGAGGGGAGAGGACAGGTGGTGAGACAGAGAGGAAACGTGTGGAAAGGTTATTGGAGAATGAAATGACATTGAGCAAAAGCTCACCTATGGAATTGATGGCATTGTCAACCGTCAACGCTTCGTCCGCATCTCCATCCTCCTAACTTGGGGAGCGATTTTTGGTGCTTCAAAAACATTTGGGCGACTTTTGAGGCGCCTCGAAAATAATCCTCCATCCTCATCACCTGAGGCGAGATTTCGAACCCGAGAGCAACAGCTAGCACGAATTCGATCCAGATAAGACACTGAGCAGAAGCTCACCAATGGAATCAATGGCGTCGTCAACCGTCAACACCTCCTCCGCATCTCCATCCTCCTCATCCTCTTCATCTTCATCATCACCATCATGATCATCCACGTCAACCTCGTCAGCAGCACCATGATTGTAACGGTAACACTCCTCTGTACCCCCACTAATTCCACTAACATCAGCCTCATTTTCGACACCCTCCTCCTGCTTCACCTCCTGCTCCGCCTGCTGCTCCTGCAGCTCCTTCTCCTCCTCCTCCCTCCCTTGCTCAGCATCTGCGTCTCTTCTCTCCCCAGCCGCACCTCCCTCCTCTGCTGCACCTCTCTCGCACATTTCCACCTGATAGGTAACAAACAACAGGAAGTGGTGCGTTTCGAGTCGACTCATAACAAACAACAGGAACAGAAGTAGACGCATAATATGCATGTTGTTATTTGACTTATAACAAAACAGGAGCATGAGTAAGAGATAATCGAATCAGGAGAACCCCAAGAGAAAAGACACACAAGATGGGGTTCACAGATCAGTTGAAAGACTAGGATTGGTTAGGATCGAACGACTGCTAGAATCTGGGGCTGACTTTTGAGTCGACTCAAAAGTCAGCTCGGGGTTCACAGATCAGTAGAGAGACTAGGATTGGTTACAATCAATGACTGCTAGAATCTGGGGCTGACTTTTGAGTCGACTCAAAAGTCAGCTCGGGGTTCACGGATCAGTAGAGAGACTAGGATTGGTTACAATCAATGACTGCTAGAATCTGGGGCTGACTTTTGAGTCGACTCAAAAGTCAGCTCGGGGTTCACAGATCAGTAGAGAGACTAGGATTGGTTACAATCAATGACTGCTAGAATCTGGGGCTGACTTTTGAGTCGACTCAAAAGTCAGCTCGGGGTTCACGGATCAGTAGGTGGACTAGGATTGGTTACAATCAATGACTGCTAGAATCTGGGGCTGACTTTTGAGTCGACTCAAAAGTCAGCTCGGGGTTCACGGATCAGTAGAGAGACTAGGATTGGTTACAATCAATGACTGCTAGAATCTGGGGCTGACTTTTGAGTCGACTCAAAAGTCAGCTCGGGGTTCACGGATCAGTAGAGAGACTAGGATTGGTTACAATCAATGACTGCTAGAATCTGGGGATTGTCTATAAAAGACTCAGACTGGCGCGAATCATTGACAGCTCTGACTATGAGACTCTTTCACGCGAAGAGCGGGAATGAATAAGTGAGACAGGGAGAGGACTGTATCCTGAAGAGGCGGAATTGTCTCTTTTGAAGGCACCTGATGCGACACCAGCCTATTATGCTTCTAGATTTCCAGAAGGATAGGGCTGGTCGGTTACCAGCCTACTAATAAGCTTTGAGGCAACCCAAGAGGTGACTTTTGAGTCGACTCAAAAGTCACCCAGCCTACTAATAGGCTTCGAGGCGAACCAAGAGGTGACTTTTGAGTCGACTCAAGAGTCTTCCAGAAGGATAGGGCTGGTAGGTTACCAGCCTACTAATAAGCTTGAGGCGAATCAGGAGGTTAGGGCTGTCGTGGTGTGATGCAAAAGTGAGCAAAGTGATAGGGCTAGACGCTCCGCTATAGGCTAGATAGAGCAACTACCTAGGGGCAAGTTACAACTTCGACGCCAAACGTGCCCGTTAACAGAATGTCACAAATATAATAATTGAGGTCCGAAGCTCAGAACGCCTAGTTACATACAAGGTTGCAAGGCTTTGTATGGATGAACCATGTGTTCCAGTCAGAGCTAAGAACGTGAGTGCAGCAACGGATTCTAAAGCTAAGCATGTGAGCAGCAATGGATTCTGTAGCTAAGAATATGAGTAGCAACGGATTATGAAGCTAAGAATGTGAGCGGCAACGGATTTAAAAGCAAAGAACGTGAGAACCAACGGATTCTGAAGCTAAGAATGTGATTCTCAAGCAAAGAGTGCAAGCAGCAACGGATTCTGAAGTTAAGACTGCAAAGCTAAGCATGCATGCAGAGTTGAGGATGCGGAGCTGTTAAGAATGGAGGAGCTACTGGCAATGGAGGAGCTACTAAGAATGGCGGAGCTACTAAGAATGGTGGAGCTAATAAGAAATGGCGGGTAAAAAAATGGCGGAGCGAGTAATGCGTACCCAGGCACCAGTGGGGCTCTCAACAGGCGGAGGCATTCCCCAAGCACTGCTCCGCTTATGCCGAACACGCGAGGCTCTATACAGCGGATCTTGCTGTAACGCGGGAGACGCGGACAATTCGCACCAGACAGTTCAGTCAGCGTAGTTTCAGGGCGATGCTTCCAATACGGGTTCCATCACTTCGACTAGGGCAAACTCGCATCGTAACCGTTCGACGCCTTTGTCCACGCTGGCATCAAATCTATGCACAACACTACACAGGCTGTGTACGACGCTATTCTCTCTCTTAGCCTTGGGATAATCAATCAGTCGCTCGATACGCATCAGCAAGTCAATGATAGCGACGGCTCGGAGGGAAGGGGGGGGGGAAGCGGAGGGAGGAGGGTAGAGGAGGTTGGGGGGAAATAGCTGAGGAGGAGGGGAAGTGCGGGGCAAGGGGGACGGATTTACCCCGCAGGCGGGGTTGGGAAGCGCAAAGGGAGCGGCGCGCGTGTGCGCTTGGAATTTTGCGGAATTGCGCGTCCGCAGTGTCTTTCTAATCTAGGTCGCATGGGATTTTGCTTTGGGTCGCACGCGTCGTACGAGGGAATTAGGATTCTAAGCGGCAGAACTGATCGCGTCGCCAGGAACCTGATTGGACGTTGCTTGGATCTTCCCGGGTCAGCCACGCGACGAATCACGAGTCACGACGTCGAGTCAAAGCGACATGCCATGCCTAAGAATGGAAAAGCGTGGCTCGAGATACTCGAAAGCGAAACAGCTCGACATAAGATGCTGCTGACATGCTCATATGCCTAATCGGCATGCGTGTCTGGGGAAAACGCGGCTATCACGCGGCTCCGCTACCTGCCTAGGTTCTGCCACCTTTCAACTGATCTGTCACACGCAACCTGTGTTCAGGGATTCTTGTCTCATGTCCTGTCTGGAGGGGAATGCTATTTCAGTACAGGATGACTCGCAACAAGGGAAGTTCGGCTACTCGCTACCTTGTACAGACTGCCAGTTTACAAATGGCTTGTAATCAATAGCTTATTGTGAAGTGTCTCAAACTGAAACTCAACAGGGAGGCTACTTATCGTGATAGAACCTCCTCTTCTTTCAAATGGCAGTATCCACATTATCGAAATCCAGACCCAGTTTAGTAAACTGATGTTTATATACCAGTAACCTGGTGTAGACACCATCAGTGCTTGCCTGTTCTCCCCAAAACCGGAGTTGGTCCATCCACAAAATAGTCTTGTTTGCGCACGTTCACACCATACTGCAAAAACGACAATAGATATCACAGCGACAGACAGTCAACGCAAAACGAGACAGCAAACACACGTTTCAGTGGGGGGAGAATGAAGCTGCAACCACAAGTCTGTGATCCAACCTTGCAATGAAGCTGCATAATGTCAAAATGAAAAACAATCACCTCTTTCAATGCAGCGGCAAGGTCCTCTGTAGTGAGTACAAGCTTCTTCTCCTTGGGCCCTCTTGCCTTCATTTCTTTGCCACTGCCTGCTTGCCGAATCTTGCAGAACCTGAGAAAGGAAGGGAAGAGGAGAGTGAAAGGGAGAGTGGGGAGAGGAGGGGGGGAGAGGGGGGGGGGGAAAGGGGGACCAGGAATTTGAGGAGGAGTGTGATGACATTGATGCAGTTGCCCAACTCTCACCCTCATCTCCTTACTGCTACCCTCCTGCCTGATCTTACAGTACCTTGATAGCAGAAGAGCAGGGGAAGGAGAAAGATGGGGGGGTTGTAAGTGAGTACTGGGTCGACTTTTGTGGGGGATAGAGTAGAGCAAGAAATTGATAGCACTGTAAGTGAGAGTTTTCAGAAAATAATTCCTCTCACAACCTAACCCCCGCAGTGCTGAATTTCACCAAATCTGAATCTCCCCCATTTAGCTTGCTCGAGAAAGGGAGTGGCACGTGCACCCAAACTTATTGTAACGCATTGTAAACTTACTGTAGCACATCATAAACTTACTGTAGCACATTATGAACTTACTGTAGAGCGTCACTGGCCACCTCTCCTATGAACTTGTGAGCCGCAGCTGATACAAGGCGAGTGCTGGGAGAGATCCAGGGGAGAGGGGCACGGGAGAGAGTGGAGGAGGAGGTGGAAGAACGATGGGGGAGAGGGGATAGTGGGGGATATGTGAGCGTCACTGGCCACCTCTCCTATGAACTTGTGAGCCGCAGCTGACACAAGGCGAGTGCTGATAGACAAGCACAGAGCGCAGTGGGGAAGAGGGGAAGAGGTGAAAAAGGGTTGGTGAGGAGGGAATAAAGGAGGACATGAGAGTGATGTTAGCCACCTCTCTATAAACTTGTGAGCTGCAGCTGACACAAGGCGAGTGCTGGTTGGGATGCACGGGAGGAAGAAGAGGGGGGAGGGAGGGGAATGGGAGAGAGTGGAGGAGGTGGAAGAGCGATGGGGGAGAGGGGATAGAGGAGGATATTAGAGCGTCACTGGTCACCTTTCTCCTATGAGCTTGTGAGCCGCTGCTGACACGAGTGCTGATAGACATGCTGGGGACGAAGGGAGGGAGTGGGGAACGCGAGAGGGAGTGGAGGAGGTGGAAGAGGGATGGGGGAGAGGGGATAGAGGAGGATATTAGAGCGTCACTGGCCATCTCTCCTATGAGCTTGTGAGCCGCTGCTGACACAAGGCGAGTGCTGGTAGACATGCGTGCATGGAGCGAGGTGGGGGAGGGGTAAAGGGAGGAAGCGGAAGAGAGGGAGGGTGCGAAAAGGTGAGGGGATGAGAGAGTGAGAGGGGGTAAGAATTGGAGTGGGAGGTGGGGGAGAGGGGGTAGAGGAATCACGAATATCAGCAATAAACCATGTATACTGACCGACCTTGACTTGACAAGCGTAAATGCAGCCTTTAATTTGTTTCGTTTAAATGCTTTTATACACTTACACATGCACGTTGGGGTTTCTGACGCCAGACCTTTGCAGATAGTACGCAGTCAGGTCGTCAGGAATCTAAAAGGAGTGGCAACGGAGAAAAGGAGGAAAGGAGGGAACGGGTTTTGAGGAGTGTCAAAAGGATGACCTTTTGAGGTGCCTGGGGTTTCTGACGCCAGATGTTGCAGCTAGTACGCAGTGCGGTCGTCAGGAATCTGCAAGGCGTGGGAACGGGGATAAGGAGGAGAGGGGAAAGGAGGAAAGGGGAAAGGAGGAAACGGAAAAGGAGGAGAGGAAGGATGGGAGGAAGAGAGGCAAGTGCGCAGTCAGGTCGTCAGGAATCTGAAAGCAGTGGGAACGGGGAAAGGGAAGAAAGAGCACGGAACAGGTCATAGGAAGATGTTTGGTTCTCCGGAGGGAGCTCGCCGCGCAACATGAAAAGGGTTTGAGACAGCGGGTCCAGAGAGCGACAGCAGCGGGTCATAACTCTCAAGAGAGCGAAAGAGGTCTGTTGGGTTCTCCGAAAGATTGATTTTTTTTTACATTTCAGCAGGAATACATTTAGGTCGTTTTTTAGGCGCCTCAAAAACGACCTCCGAAAGATAATATTTTTTACATTTCAGCAGGAATACATTTCTCAGGGGAAGAAGGCATAGTAATACATTTATAATGCATCAGATCACTCACTAGCGGGTCGTAGTTCTCCAGGGAGCGTAAGAGGTCTGTAAGGTTCTCCGTAGGGTGTCCGTCCGACGCCATGGCTGTTAGTAGGTCGGTACGGCTGGTTAACGGGGAGCACGGCCAATCCGCTATCACTTGGTGATGATTCTAGCCGTGAGCCGGGGAGATACTAACGACGACGAACCTAGGTCCGCGAAGATTATTCCTCTTTTCGCTGCGCGTTTGGAGTTAGTGGTAATGATGATAAAACGCAATCGCGGTTCGAGCTTCGAACGGAGATAAAAGAATCAAGCGGCGTGAAATTAAACGCAGTGAGCTAACTTTCCACAAACTGACGTCCCGGCGTGTGTAGTAGTAGCGAGGCGAAGCGCGCTGCTAGAGACCTGTTGAAAACGCTTCTGAAAACTCTAGAGACGACCTTTGAGAATCGTCAAAACGCGGTCCCTGGTCTGGACTACGCAGCAGCAGAAGTACATTCTTCGATTATTCTGCTGCTCAATGCAACTGACTGACAGCTGTGTGCTGTCTGGCAAGTTCATATCAATGGTGGAGGGTAGCACTCCCTCCCACCGAACCAAACCTTCTGAGATGCTTTGAGTGCAATGAAAAATGCGGTACAGAATGGTTGTAGCTGTTACTGAGCGGTAAATAAGTAGTTTGGAACGTTAGGCTAGGGTTTTGAGGAATGTCTCCAACGAAACGAGGTCGACATGCGAATTGGTGGCGAAAATGGAATCTGCTCTGCTTGGCTAGGCTCATTTTAGCTCACTACCTCGTATGAAAAACGCGAAAGCGTTCCCAACCTTTGAAATTTGAGCCTTCCTGAAACTCCCTGACATTGCAAGAGGAAATACTTGAGATAAGAGCGTGGCTCCATTTTGCCTCCCCTTGGTTCGAACCGTCGACCGTTCGAACCGTGTGGTGGTTACTGGTTTCGTTAGAGTTCGCCTTTTTGTTCGCGAGTATGCATGCGACGTCGCATACACACCGCATCGGGGTGTCACTTTTCCCGCTTTTGTCAGGCCGAAACTGCAGTTCATTCGCCGTTCGTATTCCGAACGGACGAATCAACAGCACTCTACAGTTCTGCATTCTGGTTGGCGCGCAAATATGGCAGGAATTCGAGAGTGATGAGTTGGTTTTGGCATTTGAATTCGAGCCGCGTTTTTTGAGTGGCGAAAACAACGAAATTCGTAAGAGGTGTTACGAATGCACAGTAAACTGAAATTTCGAAATCTTGAAAAAGGTGCACCCCGTCGTCCGTTCGTGCTTCCGTCCGCTTTTCGTCCGCAAAAGGTTCACTACGAGCTAAAAGGACGGTCCGCTATTGTTATAGCGAACTTTGGGTAAAAGTAAAATGGAGCCACGCTTCAGTCGATTAGCGGTGTGACTTGATTGGAGTGCATCCGCTTTGGCATAGGAGGGGTGTTGTAGGTCGTTCCAACTCTGGATGCGGTGACGGCTGCTGCTTCCCAGTGCGTCAGCCGTTGCAGAAGTGCCTGATCATCACGTGCGTTTACTAATCGTCAATTCTCGCCAGATTCCGTCATGGCGACGGCTCGATGGAGACTTGACGGCCAGACCGCTCTTGTAACGGGCGCGACCAAAGGCATCGGGTAACGAGGCGACGTATGATATTCTGCTCTCTTTCCGTTCTTTCCGTCGCTTGACACCCTCGTGACGGAATAGGTCTAGTTACTTCACGCTCACGTGACGGAATCTGTCCATTTCACACTCTCGTAACAAAACCCGCTACCGTCACACCCTGGTGACGGAGTCCGTCCCCTTCGCTAAAACCGTCGAATTTGATTCTGAGTCAAAAGCAGACTCTATCCATTCATGCCGCAAAAGCTCACGTGGCGGAATCCGTCCCATTCACTGGCTTCCGTCACCGGTCCCCCCTTTTCCCCCGTTCATCTTCCCCCACCTCCTCCCTCCGTTGCAAAAACGGGCATCCCTGAGCAGCCCAGTTCTTCCCATCCATCCCCCTGTTCCCGCTTTCCCTCTTCCCCTCCCCATCCCCTTTCCTCTCCTCCTCCGCCTCTTCCCATCAGTCGCTTTATCTTTATAACACGCTATCTCATATACCTGAGCTGACTTTTGGGTCGACTCAAAAGTCAGCTCGGCATAACACGCTAGCTCATATACCCGAGCACCTCCACCCTTCCTCGTGCATTGAAGTGATTTCTGAGGCGCCTTAAAAATTCACCTCTTCCCATCAGTCGCTTTATTGCACAAGAGCTCCTACACCTGAACAACTCCTTCCTTCCTCCTCCCCCTCCCATCCCCCTGTTCCCGCTTTCCCTCTTCCCCTCCTCATCCCCCTTCGTCTCCTCTTGCGCCTCTTCCCATCAGTCGCTTTATCACAAAAGAGCTCCTACACCTGAACACCTCTGTCCTTCCTCCTCCCCCTCCCATCCCCCTGTTTCCCTCTTCCGCGTCTCCTTCTCCCCTTCCCACCCCTCCCTTCCCCCCATCAGTTGCGCCATCGCACAGGAGCTAGCATCTCTGGGCTTGCGCACGTTCGACCCCTCCCCCTGTTCCCCGCATCCCCCCATTCCCCTTTCCTCCTCCCCCTTCCCCTTCCCCCCATCAGTCGCGCCATCGCACAGGAGCTAGCATCTCTGGGCGCGCACGTGTTTGTGTGCTCACGTGGCGAGGCTGACGTGGCAGCTACAGTGGCGGAGCTACAGTCGCAGGGGTGGGCGGCGACGGGGTGGGCGTGTGACGTGAAGGAGCCGGAGCAGCGGGAGGTGCTTATATCGAAGGTGTCAGAGGCTTTTGGCGGGAAACTGAACCACCTGGTACGTAGGCCAGCAGTTCTTTGCAGGCGGCTTTTGAGAATTCTAAAAAACAGACAGTGCACCTGATTAGTTGGTGGTGGGTTATTTTCCCAAAGCCCTGCATTAGGAGGAAGGTGGGATGGGGTGGTCGTGTGATGGCAGCTACAGTAGCGAAGCTACGGCTATGATGTCTTGCAGACCATAATTTTGAGGCGCCTGAGAATTAGGCTCCAGTTATGATGTCTTGCAGACCATAGAAGAACTCAAGGGCGCTATGGCGAGTTTGAGACGCCTCAAAACTGTACAGTTATGATGTCTTGCAGACCATAGAAGAACTCAGGGGCGCTATGACGAGTTTGAGACGCCTCAATACTGTACATTTATGATGTCTTGCAGACCATAGAAGAACTCAGGGGCGTGATGACAAGTGAACAAGGAATGGGGCAGGAGTGGAGAGGAGCGTGGCGAGGGGATGCTCCCAGGGCTGCCTGTTGGAGCGGCACCCTCTCGGGCGGTGATTGGGGTTGGGGAGGCATTCGTGTGCTAGGGTGTAGATGGGATGCTTACTTTCCTGGCGCTGAGTGCACATCCGGGGCAGAGAGGGCTGCACGGGAGCATCAGAGGCTTGCTGATGTTGTTTCTGCTCCAGCCCACCTCGCACCAGAAGGTTGTGTTTATGCGGCAATGACAGAAGAGGAGGAGGAGGAGGAGGAGGAGGAGGAGGAGGAGGAGGAGGAGGAGGAGGAGGAGGAGGAGGAGGAGGAGGAGGAGGAGGAGGAGGAGGAGGAGGAGGAAGCGGAGGAGGAGGAGGAGGAGGAGGAGGAGGAGGAGGAGGAGGAGGAGGAGGAAGCGGAGGAGGAGGAGGAGGAGGAGGAGGAGGAGGAGGAGGAGGAGGAGGAGGAGGAGGAGGAGGAGGAGGAGGAGGAGGAGGAGGAGGAGGAGGAACATCCCTCTCTGACTTCCACCACGTGTGGGGCACCAATTCACTTCCCATCCGCATTCCACCTCCCTTACCCCCTCTCTTTTTCCCGCAGGTCAACAACGTGGGCACCAACATTCGCAAGCCAACAGTCGACTACTCCCTCTCTGACTTCCACCACGTGTGGGGCACCAACTTTGAGTCCGCCTACCACCTCTGCCAACTCGCGCACCCTCTGCTTAAAGCCGCTGCCAACGCTGCTGCTGCTGATGGTGGAGTGAAGGGCAATGCGAGCATTGTGTTCAACTCGTCTGTAGCCGGGGTCGTTGCTATCCGCTCAGGCACTCTCTATGGTGCTACCAAAGGTCTGTCATCTTGTTAACTAATACTGGTGCTGCTACTGCTGCCGCCAGTGCAGCGAGGGGCAATGCAAGAAAGGTGTTCAACTCTTCTGTAGCAGGGGTAGTTGCTATTCGCTCAAACACTCTCTACGGCGTCACCAAAGGTACTGTTGCTATCACCCAGTTGACTGATAATGGTGCTGGTGCGGCTGGTGCTGCTGGTGCTGCTGATAGTGGTGGTGATGCTGCTGCTGCTAGTACCCCAAAGGGGCAATGCAGTATTCTTCCCCCGTGTTTTTCCACGTTCCCTTCCACTTCCTTCCACCAGCCGCCATGAACCAGCTCACGAAGAACCTGGCATGCGAATGGGCCAAGGGAGGGGCTTCACTCCTGGGAGCGGATCAAGTGTGGAAGGGCCTCACTCCTCCTGTCCTCACTCCATGCCTTTCCCTCAACTCAACCCCCCTTCGAATCCCAACCAGCCGCCATGAACCAGCTGACCAAGAACCTGGCGTGCGAGTCGGCCAAGGATGGCATCCGGGTGAGTGCCGTGGCCTCACCCCAACCACGCGACCTCACCATGTCTCACTGCCACAACCCCACCCCTCCTCAACCCTCCAACCAGCCGCCATGAACTAGCTGACCAAGAGCCTGGCGTGCAAATGGGCTAAGGATGGCATCCGGGTGAATGCCGTGGCCTCACGCCCTCGTAACCCATTCACGGCCTCTCTTCCTCATTTATTTCACCATCTCTTCCCCCCACACCTCCACCCCCCACCCCCGTTTGACCCCCTACCAGCCGCCATGAACCAGCTGACCAAGAACCTGATGTGTGAATGGGCCAAGGATGGCATTCGGGTGAATGCAGTGGCGCCTTGGTACATGGCAACCGACCTCGTGACCCCACCCATGCCCTCTCTTCCCCCCTCCTCACACCATGTCTCCCTTTCAGCCGCCATGAACCAGCTCACAAAGAACCTGGCGTGCGAGTGGGCTAAGGATGGCATTCGGGTGAATGCCGTGGCGCCCTGGTACATGGCAACAGACCTCGCCAACCAGGTAATGAGGGTAACCAGGTAACCATGTATAAGAACCACCCATTCAATCGCACCTCTTGCTGCTGAGTGGGTCAAGCAAGGATGGCATCCGAGTGAATGCAGTTGCGCCCTGGTACATGGCAACAGACCTCGCCAACCAGGTACCCTTCATTATAAGCAACCTCTCTTGACCCCCCACACATTCTGTCACACTTTGCTGTCGAATGGGCACGAAAGAACCTGGCATGTGAATTGGCCAAGAAACGATGGGATCAGAGTGAATGTAGTGGCGCCATTTTACATGGCAACAGACCAAGCATTTTCTGCCGATGTCTGACGCCGATGGCAAGGGTGGGAGTCACTTTTTGAGAATTCTCAAAAGTGTTCAAGGATGAACGCTTTTCTGCTGATGTCTGACGCCGATGAGGAGGGTGGGGGAGCCTCAGGAGGCAGCAGCAGCTGTGGCGTTCATGTGCATGCCCCCCCTCGCCCTTTCACTGGGTCAACCAGTTCAGTTCCCCCTGTTATTTTCCCCTATTCCCGTTCTCTCCTTCCCCGCCCTCCCTATTGCAACGGCCAATGAGAAACCAAGCCTGACGAAAAATATGCATTTTTTTCTGCTAAAATCATCTTTCTCAAACCTCTCTTCCCCAGGTGCTCAAGGATGAAGCGTTCTCTGCTGATGTCATCAGTCGAACGCCCATGAGGAGGGTGGGGGAGCCCCAGGAGGCAGCAGCAGCTGTGGCGTTCATGTGCATGCCCGCTGCTTCCTACGTGTCGGGGCAAGTGCTGGCCGTCGACGGTGCTTTCACTGTTAACGGATTCTACCCTCGGACTGATGATGCATAGGCTGCAGCGCTGCCATATAGAGAGACAAGAATCAAATCAGGAGTAGGTGAAACCATGTGGCGTGGTTGTGGTGGTGGTGGTGTCTCAAGAGGGAGCCTCAGGAAGCAGCAGCAGCTGTGGCATTCATGTGCATTCCGGCTGCTTCCGATGTGTCGGGGCAGGTGTTGGCTGTCGACGGTGCTTTCACTGTGAATGGCTTTTACCCTCGGACTGATGATGCATTAACATGTTGGTGGGAAAAATATGACTGATGAAGAAGGGGTTTCTGAGGGTGTGCCAAAACACACTGATTGTGTTCTGTTCTTTGAAAGGGGCAAAATATGTAATATTGTTAATCTGAGCTGTTTAGTGTAGCTCTGTTTCATTTTCCACCTCTTCCTGACTGTATCGGGGATATCGTTGGCACAGAGTATAAATGCTCGCGAGTATTCTAAACCTTACCCAACCAGTGAAAAGGTTGAACAAGTCGTCTGAAACGCTGATTACTTGACTTTACTTAGTTATGCGCCGTCTGTCCCCATTTGTCCAACACCAATTCCAACACCAGTTTCAGACCAAACACAGACTGCAGTCACGACTGAGAATGTATGCACTGCTTTTAGTGTAATAACATTCACACAAAAAAAAACAAACAAACAAAAAACAGACTGGAGTGGAGCAGAAGACATGGTGGTAATCGATGGCTGCTGGTCATTCACAGGGACAGCGACAAGCCCGAGAGAGTTGAAAGGCATGAAACACAGCTGTCAATATAATTAGCCGACAAGGAGCAGTAACTGGTTAGTCCCTCTTCTCGGAAACTTCGCCGTCGCTGTCGCTGTCACTTATATTGCTGCTTTTTCTGGTCCATGAAAGGGACTAGAAATAAGTTGTCTATTTGGGACCCTCTTTGGGATGATGAACCCGTGGGAGAAACGCTGGAGTCTCGAGCATCGCTGCTTTCGAGACTGGCTAGAGAAAAAAAAGATTGGGTGCGTCCTGTCCTGCATCATGCGTCACATCATCGCAATTTCCGTGCGAGCTTACCCATGCCTCACCGCTTCTTCCTCCATCCTCGTGTCTCTCGCTCCCTGATTGACGACGGAAACTGTCAGGTTTTGCAGTTTTCATATCGTCTTTGGATTGTCCTCTTATCTGCACATAGAAGAGAGTTTACCTGAGACAGATCGAAGCCTATCGTGTGAGACGAGAAACAGGAGGAACTGCAGAGTGATTGGTTCCTTAAATCGATCCTGGTCCGGCCAAAACGATCCTGGCCCGGCCTTTCTCATTCCTGTCACGCGTGGCGTAATTGAAGCTCTAAGCCAGTTCCAGAGCTTCTGTTGAGGAGCCTCAGATGTTGATCCTGGCCTGGCCTTTCTCACTCCTGTCACGCCTGGCGTGATTGACGCTCGAAATCACTCCCAGAGCTTCTGCAGATCGGCTCCTTCCAAAGCCGGACTTGCTGCGAAGCAATCTAGTGTCTTCACAGTCGAGGGTGCAAGTGCGTTTCGAGCTGGTTGACGTTTGAAACTTTGAATGCAAGTTTGACGTCTCAAGTTTCTTCTTAGACGTCTCAGTACCCGTAGCTTGTGTATCGGGGGGTGAGGTTGCATTCTGGTCCGTTGTACAGAGGAATCAAATGGATTCTGGTTTCGAGTTGTTGCGTAACCTTTAGTTACTGAGTGACTTGGTCCCTACTGCTGCAATCCTGGATTCCATTCTTGAAGTGCTTGGTTGCACATGGCTGGGATTTAATACCCTGTCAACGCGCTTTCACTGAGACCAAGCGAGGATGAAGCAGCAATGACCTGTTGCTTATGCTGAGCCTTTGATCAGCCTCTGTTCTTCTGTAGCAGCTCTTTTGAATCCGGCTCCACTGCACAGCTGCTTTGACATCTTCCAACATAGCTCCTTACATTTGAAACATCTTCCTCTTAACTCAGCTACCAGCCATGCTTACACATCGGCATCTTTCCTCCCTCAGCAACAACCCCTTTCCACCCTCTCCTCCTCCACCCTTCTCCGTCCCCATCCTCGTCTTTGCCCCGGAAATCACATCACCATTGCCATCTTCCTCCTTTCCTAACACCACCACCTCCTCTTTTGAACCAGACTTCTTTGATTCTGCAACCCTTCTCCGAGCTCTATCCATCTCGGGCCTTCTGGTGGTAATTGGTGGTCTCATCGGCCTGATTATCTTTCGACTTGCTGTGGTCTGGATCGTGTGGACGAGAACACGCCACGTGTCGCCCTGGCGCCTCCTTGTCACGCTGCCACTCATCCACCCCTTTGGTCTGAACCCTGATGGCTCAGCCTTGACCGGACGAACTCCTTCTCACACGCAAGGAGCAGCGGGGCTGACGGAGTCAGTGGTTGATGTGGAAACTGCTTCTACGAATGAGGTATGCAGGCCTGGTCTTGTTGACACAAGGCATGTTTTGTTCTGGTTCAAAGCTCAAAATCTGTTTTGGATCAATGGAGATCGGTGCAGTAGTTCTTGTGGCTCCGTTAGTGAGACCTCGTCAACCCTGGATCTCATCTAATGCCTGCCTGCTTAGCTGAGTTCCGTTACCTCCGTCTCACGCACAGCCCACAGTGATGCATATCCGTACCTTAAGATTATCATAGCTGTTACCTGAAATTTGCTAACCACCTTGCTTGATCCCCTTCTTTCATTCCTTCCTTTCCTCCCATCCCATGACTTGCAGCTTCAGGGGCAAGAAATTGCAGCCAGGTCAGGGAAGCTGGTGAAAAAAGGAGCGAGCACACAACAGCTGTCGCAACTTGTTTCCAACCCCATCGGGGCTGAGCAAGCAGAGAAAGAAGAGTAAGTGTATATGTGTCCATGTTGGTTTGAATTGGCACCTCATTTTCTGTTTCCCCATAGATGCAAACTATGGTACACCATTTCATGGCTTACTGCATCACCATCGGCCACCCTATACCCTGCTGCTAGTATACATCGTTTCCTGTGTATATTTCCCTACGAAATGCTGTTCGTTTCCTCCCCTTCGCTTCCATGTCCACCCTTCCCTGCTGCTCCCTTTGCTGTGTTGTGTATGTACTCTCCCTTGTGTGCACCAGGTGTATTGTCTGCCTTTCTGAAATGGTTGTTGAGGAGTCTGCAGTCACTCTCCCATGCTGTAACAAGTCATTTCACCAACAATGCATCACAGCGTGGCTTGCAACAGCTGGGGCGTGTCCCCTTTGCAGGAGCTCTCCGTTTCAATAAATCTATCACCCTCATGACCTGTGTGTACAGTGAACGAGTGTTTAAGAGCCATGTATATTCTCCATTTTCATTCTTGTTTGAAGCAGCCTTGCTGTGGCAGTATCACATGACATGACACCCCCTTTCTTGGCCTCAAATCCTGTCCAATCATAGGTAGTGTGGGTCCCATTTGTCCCAATTGTTGTCTCAATTTCAACCTTTCTTTGACCAAGTACCGTACCATGTTTCAACTCAATCGCCATTGATAATTGTTCCTGCCATGTATACCCATCTTCGGTAGGCCTAGGCCGGCAACCACTTCAGGCCCTTGTTTGAAGTCAGTAATCAGAGAAGAGGCCGGCTCACTATTTTGGGTACAATAATGCATGGAAAACGTCCCATAAATGATCCACTATACACCAGCAAAGTCATCAACCATAGTTCAGCCGGAAAATGTCGTTTAGGACGTAGAAGCTTCCAGCAGGTGTAGGCATCAAGTGAAACATCTGCACAAAGAAACGCGCCGAAGCATAGGGAACATCTTGATAGATGCATGTCGGGACGAGCCGAATACCAGTGGAGCTTGGATGAAAGCTATATACACGATGTGAGTAGATTAGGGTTTCCAACGAAAAAATTGCGCAGATACGCAGATCATGAAAAAATACGGTTGAACACCCAACCTACCTGGCTAAATTTGAGAGGATGCTCCTGATCTGCCAGTTTCAAGCTCCCACTGACAAACACGACCATTCCGCCTCCAGGACCCGACGGCTGGCAATCGACCGTGCTGACGATGTGTGTGCAGGACTGGAAAGGCAGGCTCGAGATCTTGTTCTGGATGTTTAGAACTCCCTGGAACTTCTCACCCTCGAACGTCAGCATCGACTGATCCTGGTATAACGTGTACAAGTTAGTGCGGGCCGTGTCGAAGGTGGTGTAATAGTGCTGCACGAACGCCTTGGCCAAGGCATCTGGATCCATGGCGACTGACTGATGCAGCCGAACCGGAGATGCTGCAACGACAGGAAATGAAGAAATCTAGGAACTATTGGTACGTCAGTCTTGACAAGTCTCCAGGTTCGTGCAGCACGAGCATATGCCACTGGAGCAAGAGGTGGAGGGGTCACTGGGAAAGACGAAAACCCTGAAGTTCGTAAGGAAAATATGCCACTCGTAACCATCATGGGACTCGATAACATTTCTGGTAAAAAAATATATGGTACGGTCACTGCAAAGGGTGTTTTTACGCGACTGATAAAACGTTTCACACAATGTCACAATCAAATGGTAAAAAAAAAGGTGAATGGTCATAGATGAAACTCCCGCCAAAACAAAATGAAACCCAAAAAGAACCTGGATGCATTTTCGAATGAATCAACCGTAAACACGTAGCTCGCCAGGTGTTTAGGGTTGATCCGTACCCAACCGCATCCGATTCCGATTGGGTTTTAGTTTTTTTACTGGTTAGCAGACTGGTTGGGAGCGAGCGGGAAATTTGTTAAGTTTCAAGTTTTTTTGGCGGGAGTTACATGTGTGACCATTCGCGTGATTTCTTACATGTTGTTAGTGACTGAATCCGTGACCCCACTTACCAAACCCGTCAGGAAACCCGATACAGTGGCCATACGCGTTTTTTTTACCATTCACGTTATGGAGTCCCAAGTTGGTTACCCATGGCATATTCTCCCAAGTTTTTACGCTTTAGTGAGGGAAACCACTGTAGACTTATCTGCAGAATATTGTACCGAAAGGGATAAGTGAAAATGGATAAATAATATAGGTTTTCTGGGAAAAAAACTTATAGGTTGTTCTTTCAATTTATATTTTTTCAACAGTTCAGATCTTCCATTATTCACATTTGTTTTTGTAGAAACAGGAAAATAGAGGAAATATGTTTTGCTATATCTGATCAAGGCGGTTTTAGCTGTGTAGAGCTGCTCTAAATGTGCTGGGATGGTTTGGTTTTCTAGCATATAACACACGGTTTTGTTAGGTGTGGTGCGTTCCGAAGCGTTGCGATGTACTGAAAACAAACACTCATCCCCGTTGAAAGCAAACCTGTTTTTTACAAATTCAAGTAGCCGGGTTCAGACCGGTGAGCAGCATTTCAAAACGGTGAATCTCTGTAAGCCATTTCATGCCCAGCGTTGCTACTGAACGATCTGTAGCTAAACCTGCACACACGAGCACAAAATCCAGAGGTAATCCAGCCGACTAGAACATAATATGCGACCAGCCCTGACAAGCATCTAAGCCAGATCCAGAGGCCACTGAGAGCATTTCTGACTCTGTGCATTAGCCGCGCAATAGGAACCAGTTCCTTTCTTTCGAAATCCTATGGCTACCGATCACGGCGACAGCAGCAATCAAGCAGGACCGGAGAAAGCCGAGCCGTCGGAGATAAATCACAGCGGGACGGAATCAGCCCGAGAAATGCGGAGTGGGCAGGAATCTGACGGACAGGGGGAGAGAAATCCTTCGGGCAATGAACCTGCTGGAAGCAACAGCGAAGCTTCGGCTTCCAAAGCAGTAACGAAGCCAGAAGAATCAGCGGAAAAAACTGCAGACAAGGAGAAGACAGGGGAGGGAGGGAAGGAAGGAAGAGACGGGAACGCCGGGGGAGGAGGGGAAGAAGCAGAAGAAGAAGATGAGATTGATCCGCAGAACCCGCGTGGTCGCTTACTGATGGCGAAGCATGCAAAGTACATAAAAAACCTGGACAAAGTACGTGATTAAGTGAATCTGGACAAGTTGCGTGATTCAGGGAATTAGGACAAAGTACATGCTCTAGGGACCAGTTGAAGGTACGTGATTTTAAGCCAGGGTCTCGAGTGCCACAAGTACGTGTTCTGAGGATCATTTTGCTCCTCTGACTGTCCTCACTTGGCTCCCTCACTTACAGATTCGGACTGTTATGAGTGCAAGTGTGCAGCAGCAGCAAACATTGTTTCTTTGTCGGTTTATATTTTCGTATTCTATGTATATTTCCATTTTGTTACTGTAGAAAACAGAGGGGATCGAGTATGTGGCAACGGAGCATCTGAGGATGAGCGGGGCCTACTGGGGGTTGACAGCAATGGACCTTATGGGGAGGCTGAAGGACATGCACAGCCCCGCCATGCTGCCCTGGCTGCTCTCCTGCCAGCAACCCAACGGTGTGTCCGTGTGTCTCTCTCTGTGTTTGAGTGCATTCCTGTGAGGGTGTGCATGTATGCGTATGCGTGTGATGTGCACATGCACAACCCCACCATCTGGTGCCATCTGACTTTTGAGTCGACTCAAAAGTCATTTCTGTGAGGGTGTGCATGTATGTGTATGCGTGTGAACATGCACAACCCCGCCATCTGGTGCCATCTGTCCAGATCCATATTTTGTCCTTGTCTCCTCATTCTTTTTTTTCTCAGGTGGTTTCGGTGGCAGCAAAGGGCATGATTCTCACCTGCTCTACACACTCAGTGCCGTCCAGATCCTCGCACTACTGGACAAACTGGATGCTGTGGATGCCGACCGCATTGCCACCTGTCAGTCTCTCATTCGTCAATCCTAGTTTCATCGCCACATCGCCTGCCCGTCTGCGCTGTGTCAAGTTTTATCAGAGTCTCGTTGGAGAATTTTCAAGGAGTTTGTCTCTCTTCTTGAATGACAAGCCGTGTCTTGTTATTCACGAATTTGTTTCAAGCTCGAATCGGGCTGATTTTTTTTTTTCACTTGTCTCTCATGTATTGGTTTGAAGTTGAGTTGTGAGTGAACTTCATCATCAGTTTCAAGGGGCTGAATTTACTTGTAGTTCATGTTTTTTTTTTTTTTTTTTTTTTTTTTTTGCCTGCATGGCAGATGTGGCAGGGCTACAGCAGCCGGATGGGTCTTTTATAGGAGACGAATGGGGAGAGGTGGATACTCGGTGAGTGGCAAACACAGTGGGTGCATTTAAACACAAGGTGTGGAATGGCAAGGGTTTAATGCAAACAGGCACGCACAGATAGAGCAGGGCTACAGCAGGCAGATGGGTGGTTCATGGGGGGTGCATGGATGGGGAGTGCATGGGGGGTGCATGGATGGGGGGTGCATGGGGGGTGCATGGGGAGGTGGACACTCGGTGAGTAATGAACACAGCGGATGCATGTAAGCACAATGGGTGGGGGGCAATCAGGCACGCACAGGTATAGCAGGGCTACAGCAGGCAGATGGGTCTTTCATGGGGGGTGCATGGGGGGGTCATTTTCCACATGCTTGTTTACATTCTCTCTGTTCCAACCCCCATCCTTTCCCCCCTCTTTTCCGTGCCGCCCCACACCCATCCACACCCCTCCACACACCCAAACATACTCCTTCTATTTTGTCTTACGCACGCCATTGGCCTCCCAGAAACGCCGATTCCTCTCCCCGCCACCCTTTCCTTTTCTCCCCCTGCCTCCCCACCCCCCACTTTCCCCCTTCTCCCCCTTTCCCTCCCCCCCTCTTTTCCCAGCTTCTCCTACTGCGCCATCTCCTGCCTCTCTCTCCTCGATCGCACGCACGTCATCGACCTCCCCGCAGCCGTCCGATTCATCGCCAGCTGTCAGAACTTTGACGGCGGGTTCGGGTCCGTTCCAGGTGGCGAGTCACACGCGGGGCAGAGTGAGTGCGATAGAGTTCACATCCATATGAATATGTATGTGTACATATATGTGTGTGTATCAGCCTAGTCATCACCAGATGTCAGAATTTTGACAGCGGATTCAGGTCCATTCTGGGCGACGAATCGCAGGCGGGGAGTGCGATGGAGCTCTATTTTTGTATAAACACATGCGTAATTCATAATTCGCATAATTACGTTCCACAATGTCTGCTGTCAATGCGATTTTAGGTTCATACATCCCAACCCATCCAAACCTGCCTTCCTTCTCTTTCTCTCCCTCCCCCCTCCTTCCAACCCCCACCCAACCCATCCAAACCAGTCTTCTGTTGTGTGGCGGCACTGGCAGTAGCTGGCGCACTCTCATTGGTCGATCGGGATCTCCTGGGCTGGTGGCTATGCGAGCGCCAGGTGCCAGCAGGAGGGCTCAACGGGCGACCTGAGAAGCTGCCAGATGTGAGCACCCACCAATCCGAGTACTAATAGCTTCTGAACAAAATTCTTTTTGGTAAACAAGGGTGCCTCAGGATCTCCTGGGCTGGTGGCTGTGCGAGCTCCAGGTGCCAGCAGGAGGGCTCAACGGGCGGCCTGAGAAGCTGCCAGACGTGAGTAGCTACCTGTTTTCTTCCTACCGGCATATGCCTGCTACCACCCTGCCTCCTCGTCTGGTGGCTGTGTGAGCGCCAGGTGCCAGCAGGACGGCTCAATGGGCGACCAGAGAAGCTGCCAGACGTGAGTACCTATCTACTATCTGCCTCCTACCACCCTAGCTGGTGAGTGAGGAATGGGCGCCGCAGGTAGGGTGGTGGTAGGGGGATGCTGTGTGATGTGAGCGTCACTCAACTGCATTCCTACTTTTGAGACGTCTCAAAAGACAACATTCCTATTCATGTGTGTTACTCCTGGTGGGTACTCTCCAGCGTCGCGTGATAAGTCGGGTTTTGAGTCGACTCAATACTCAACAGCATTCCTATTCAGGTTTTGAGGCACCTCTAAACTGTTACTCCTGGTGGGTGCTCTCCAGCCTCGTGCTCATCTGACAGCATGCAATCCCACCCCCGCCGCATTGTCTGTTTCCATTCCTCTGCCTGTTTTGTCTGCTCCCTTTTTGCGCTGCTGTGTTGTCATGCATCCCAGGTGTGCTACTCCTGGTGGGTCCTCTCCAGCCTCGTGCTCATCCACAGGGTGTATTGGATCAGTGCAGAGAAGCTCTTTGTTTCCCTTCCTCTCTGCCTTTCCTATGTTTTGCTTTGCCACCTTCATTTCATCCCAGGTGTGCTACTCCTGGTGGGTCCTCTCCAGCCTCGTGCTCATCCACAGGGTGTATTGGATCAGTGCAGAGAAGCTCTTCCATACTCGCACTCCC